TAATTTAAAGGGAAAATTAATAAAAAACGATCCTTCACCGAACCGAAATGTTCTATAATCGACGTAAGTTAAATTTAGCTATAACTAAAAGAGCCTTCTAAAATTATAATATATTTTTAATGGTCCCGTTTATATTCAGATATAAATGATGATGAGATGTATATATTATTGTAATATATCAAGTGTAGGATTAAAGCTTTAACATAACATATTATGAAACATTCCAAATACCTATTAAAAAACAATTAATACAGTAAACAACATATTTTACCGTAAGTCTCGGCCTATTAATCTAATATATAAAATTCTCGTGTCGCGGTGTTTGTAGTTAAACTCCTCCGAAACGGCTTGAACGATTCTCATGAAATTTTGTGTGCATATTGGGTATGTCTGAGAATCGGACAACATCTATTTTTCAACCCCCTAAATGTTAAGGACCCCTAAATTTTTATTATTTATTTTTAGATGAATTTTTATTTTTTTATGATACAGCATTAAACAATACATACAACCCCTCATTTTCACCCCTCTACGATCAACCCCTATTTTTTATTATAAATGATATACATGGCAAAACGACGTTTGCCGGATCAGCTAGTATGATATAAATGTTTCGATAAATATATCTCTACGAATTGAAAGCAATTATTCAATTGCTTGTATCTGACTATCTATTTCGTCATTGTTAAATATTGAGGAGCTCGAAACTATTTTTTTTTACAAAATCATTGTAAAACACGTCATGCATTTTAATTGTGGCTCGCGAGTTCCGTAATATGAAGAAACTAGATCTTCTAAGCAAATAAGTACCTAATTAAATTTTCCCTTTGGAATAGAGACTCTTAGGCCGTGAGGTTCAAGTGCACAGGCGCTAATTAAAGTTGGTGCCCCAGCTCTGGGGTCACCGGTCTTCCTTGCTCAACGAATAAGTATCGCAATACAGCGAGGAAATGCGGCAGCGTTAAAGATACACTGCCACATATACCAAACTGTTTAAATTTGTTTAAATTTTAAATTTATTAATTATCAAATAAATATAATTAGGCCCTGCACCGCAAGCGTTGTGAAATTATCAATAAAACAATAAATAAATATCAACCCAATTTTTATAAATTTCCTGTTTTTACTATCATAATCACTTTCTACTCCCTGCCATTGTGTCCAGGGACCTTTGCACATCACACGTCTCGCGAAAGACGCCCCGGCTACATCTGTAATATTTTTGTTTACAATATTCATGGGCGAGCCGGGACGCAATTCCTCGCGAGACCCGTTCTTGGGGTTTTGTTTGCCGCCTTTATATATTCCACAATTTTGTCGCAGTACCGTTCCAGGCACGATCTGTGCTTTATTAACATGTCCTGTAGGCCGTTACGGTCTACAGTCATCTGCATTGTTGCTCCAGGTCGTGCCTGGACGATGCGAATATAGGGCAATGTAGGAGCACATGTTCTACTGTTTGTTCTTCATCGCCGCAGTCACATGCTGGGCTTGTCCTAATTTTAAACCTATGAAGGTAATGTGCAAAGGCTCCGTGCCCTGTAAAATTTGCGCCATCTGGGGTGTGAAACGCTTCTCTTTTATTAATTTGTACGCAGTTCTAACATTTGCGATGAATAATTTTGTAGTTCCAGCTGTTTCACCCCCAGGTAGCGTTCATTCCATACATCTAGAGTCTTTTGCCTTATCTGATGTTTTACATATGACAGGGGTATGCAGCGTATTCAGGTTTTGACCTTAGTCTTTCCGCCGCTTCTTTTGCTAACGTGTCCGCCCTCTCGTTCCCTGGCGTACCAACGTGCGCCTTTACCCAGAAGAGGCTTATATGAGTTCCTCTTTTGCGGCACTCTTCCAGGCTCCGGCGGATCTCGGCTACCTGGGGATCGAGAGATCGTCCACTCACAATAGCATCTAATGCTGACCTAGAATCACTGTATATTTTAGCGTCACGCTTATTTTTATTTATGTGGCTAGTCGCGTTTCGTAGTGCCGTCAATTCAGCTTGAAAAACTGTGCAGTGGGGCGCCATCTTAATCATCTTGCTATTTATTTCGATTCCATCTTTCCATTCCGTCCAAGCGGCACCACTCCTATACTTGTTTTGCTGCCGTCCGTATAGATTTGTGTGCCGCCGTGTCCTTCGATTTCTTCTGGATTGGTGAGCATCTTGTAGTCCAGTTTTTGTTTGTTTCGCCGGGTGTGGGGAGATCTACGTATTTCACTCTCCTCTCTAATTCTTCGCCCTCCAGTATTTCCGTGCTGACCCCCTTCTTATCTCGTATAAGGCGCGGCTTCTTGAATACGGAGGTCTAGTGGAAGTATCCGGCCAGTAGGGTTGCTGCGTGTAATGATGTCGTCCTATAAGTTTTTGCTACTTTTTGGGCAAAGCCCCTTTGAAGATGATTTAGTTTTCTGCGTACACATATTTTATTTGTCGCGGGAGCCCACACCGCGGCCGCATACATTACGATTGGTTCAATAACGGCAGTGTACGCGGTCGCGATAACTTGCTGGTTTAGTCCCCATTCGATCTTCGCGGCTTTGGCCAGCTGCTTATATATCTGGATGGCCTTCCGGCATACCCTCTCCACATGTCTGTTAAATGTGAGTCTAGCATCCACATCAACTCCGAGAATTCGAATGTGGTTATCCATCTGTATCGGTACATTATTTATATTTAGCCGTGGGGTATCATACTTCAGTTTGCGCGTCACCACCATGGCTTTGGTCTTGTGTGGCGCAAACTTCAGTTTGTTTAGGATACCCCATCTATGTATCCGGTTCAATGTTAGGTTGAGGTTCTGCTGGATCTCACTACCGGTCTCTCCTTCCGCTATCAAAACGACGTCATCCGCAAAAGCCTGGACGTACTCACCACCATTTCGCAAGTCCTGTAGGAGCGGGTCCAATATTAGATTCCACATTGTTGGTCCCCCTATTGAACCCTGAACGCAGCCTTTGTTAGTTACTTTTTCAACCGTTTGTCCAGCGTAGGTTAATTTTATTTGTCTTTCGTGTAAGTAACTATCCATTACTTTCCTTAGTTTTAATGGGCATTGTTCTTCTGCCAGTCGGACTCTAATTTGCGGCCACCAAGCGCTGTCAAATGCGCCCTCTATATCGAGTGATACGATTGTTAGTATCTTCTTTTGTTTCAGCTTTGCGCGTATATGTGTGACTGCGTCATATAGGGCGTCTTCAGTGCTCCGCTGGGGCATGAATCCGTATTGGTTTTCGAGGTTTTCGGGACTAGATGCCACTTTAGCCGAGCGATTATCATTTTTCGTATACTTTGCCTAGAAGAGGTAGTAAGCCTATGGGTCTGTAAGACTTCGGGTTTGTATAATCTGTCTTACCAGGTTTGCGCAATACAATTATTGTAGCCTTTTTTCCACAATTTGGGGAAGTACCCTAGCTCCAGGCATTTGTTTAGGACGGTGAGGAATAAGTTAGGCGCCGCGTTTATCGCGTGCCAACTTATGTCCGCCGTTATGCCATCTTCTCCGGGGCCTTCCTCGGGTTGAAACTGAGAGCGGCGGTTTCGAGTTCAGTCATTGTAAAAGGGGATCATAGCTAAGTTATGTCCCTCTTTATTTACTGTGTTTGCTCTTCTTCTTATCAATTTGTGGTCTTCAGTTTCATCCTCACTAGTGTCTTCCGGGAAGAAGGTTCTTGCCAAGGTCTCCGCTGACTCCCTTTCGCTAATGTATCTACCGTCCCTGCGAAGTGGTAAATCCTGGACTCTGGTCTCTGTCCCTCTTATCCTCTATATATACCTTCCCACATTGTCTCTCTTTCCTGTTTCTCGCAGAACTTTTTCCAACTCTCAGTTTGGGCTTGTTTGATCCGGTTTTCATACTCTTGTTTTAATGCAATAATTTTTATACATTTCCTGTTTGTAACTATCAAAAGCTCATAATCATTGCGTGACATGTTCCGTCCCTGCTGCTTTACTGTATTATAGTAAAAAATTGGTTGGAAACTAAATGTTTATTTATTATCAATCATTTTTAAGAGATATTTGCTACATCCCTATATATCCTTCTATAATTAACATATTTGTCATCGAGTGAATCGTTTCGCATCGTTTACCTACAGACCATACACGCTCGGTAACTCGATTGGAAATAAACATATTTTAATACATATATAGTACACTTGTGTTAATTACGTGTTGAAATTTTATATAGGCTCCTCGGTAAGTGAAAATAGTCCATCCAATACAAAATTAATTGTCCAATTCGAATCAGTAGTTCGTAAGATGAAAAGCGTCAACAAACATACAAACCCTTTATCTTCATGATATTAAACTTTGTTATTTATCTATGTAGTTTTAGAAAAATGTTAATTGTCATTGAGCTGTCTTAATTGCCATAGAAAAAATTATCAGCTAATGAAATTCATAATTATTTCTGTTCTATCGGACCCTTTGCATAACATAGCATGAATTCATAATGGTTCGAGCAATCCTCATATTTGACATAGTAATTGATTCGTCCAATTTTATTAATGGCTAATGTGTTATTATTTACTTCAGAAATTTTGGTCAAAATTTTACTGATTTAGTATTGTTTTAATGTGAGACGTATTAAGAAATATCACAGCTACAATGTGAAAGTGTTCACTTATAAAAAGGTATGATAAATTCTACAAGAATTGAAAATACCAAACCAAAGCTCAGCTGGTAGTATAAACTTTACTGTTATCAAATCCAGCAACTTAGTGCCTCTAGGCGGTAGCAACTCTTAACTTTACCCAACTACTGTTCACTAGACTTTACAACAGCTTTGTTTTAGCTCCTATTAGTGCTTTTATGTTGAATGAATGCTAATTAAGTTTCCATACATATAGTATGTTTTAAATTTCTGGTTTATACATTCGTTCTATTTAAAATTGTTAAGGACACATTGTGCGATAAGGATTTTTTGGTCTTTTGATGATTGTTATTAATAAATGTTTGTTTTACTTTGTTTTGTGTTGTTCGAATTCCGCGTGAAACAATGGTTTTTCAGGTTGAAAAGCATAAAATATCTAACTGCCTCTTGTTCATGAGTGTTTATAGTCATTCTCACAACATACTCATATGTTTGGTGGTTTATTTGCGTAATCAAGTTTCTTAATTCTGTCAACGAATTCCAGAGGAATTCACTACAATTACAAAACCTACCTGAACCTGTTTTTTCTACTTTTGCCAACTTGCCTATATGATATATTTTTTCCAGGTGATAACTGCTAGCCGTTGTCTCGTGCTTTGTGCTGAGAATCGAAGCGATATGGAGGCATGGTCAGCGGCGTTGCGCGGCGCTCTTCACAGTGGCTCCAATGTGGCTGATCTCGTGGCGAGTTTATCTCGAGGAGACCATCACTGGTATTATAATTTCTGTAATTATAAATCATAATAGTAATAAATCAAGTTCTCCAACTCGTTTTACTATAGTAAAATTTACGAATTAATGAAACAAATATACATGAAGAATAATGTTTTTTTATAAAAAAACACAATTTATTTTACTAGTTATCACATTTAGGATGTGTTATGGGTGAATAGACTGCAAATATAGTAGATATATAATATACAGATTTACATAGTTAACCGTAACTTCAAGGATTTATTTTTTATAAATCAACGACGAATTTAATTAAACAAGAATTACGCGGAAAAACACACTTATTAATGTAAAAACATTGTCACTTATTACTCCAATTACGCAGACTTCACACTTTCGCATTTATTATATATCTCGGGTAATAATCGTGAACAATACTCGAAGAGTTCCTGGGCAGGAGTGGTACTGTGTATCTGGTGTTCTAACCTTAGCGGTCTACTTTAGAGCGTAGGTATGTACACTTATCTCTTTCGGGTATCATTCCATATATTTTGTCAAAAGTTCACTCTAGACTAGTCCTTTATCAAAGAGCTGGACCAAAACGTCTGGAAACCATGTGAGTAATTGCTCTGAAACAGCCTGAAAAATGATTCAGCCTTCTGAAAACGAAGCGCACCTTATGCAATTTCCAATTTTCTGGTATTTTATCACATATCTATCAGTCTATCTCTCCTCTTGAAACGGTCACAAATTAAATTTCAGGCTGCTGAAAGCTGTAGAAAAATCGAGAAACATTTTAGTATTTCTTAGTAACAATATTATTTATCCCAATTGAATTTCTCAAACCTCTTTTTCATAGTACGATGCAGTGTTGGTGATCTAGAAATATATTTTGTTTGTTTTGTTTGGTTTGTTTATTATGTACTTTATAATATACACAATTATACTTGTAGTTGAAAATGCCATCAGGGAAGGATTTACTACAAATCGAGACAAAATTATTTTACACGTTTTTATCAATAATATTTCATTATCCCAGTAATTACTACTACTACATTATCCAACACTAAAATTTATGATCACATGCCAATATATATCTGTAAAGGTACGCAGCAACGCATGCGAGGCCGACATTCTGTAATGTATGCCGCGAGTCGCTGGGCGCGCTTGGCACAGCGCACGCCCTTGCCTGCGAACTTTGCAAGTTCAAGGCGCACAAGCGATGTGCTGCGCGTGCGCCGCCATCATGTAAGTGGACCACGCTGGCGTCGCTTGGACCGCATCTAGTGGAGGACGCTGAAGGGGTTAGTTCAGTTTTACTTTTCACTAGATTTTTGCGACGGTTACAATACGATGAATTTCTTTGTTAAAAGCCCACTGCAAATAAAGAAAAGGTTTCATTATGCATTGTTAGGAAATAATTTATAACGCTCAAGTGTTGAACGTTAATCCCTTGATGACACTGTAATGAACGAAATATTTTTTATTGGAATTGCTGAATATTTTAGTATAATAAAAACATTATTCGTGTAAATTAAAATAGTAACACATTTATTAGTCTATTTATACTGGCTTGAAGATTCTTTGAGTCTTTTTTGTGATAGGCGTATCGTTTGACATCTCAATAATAATTGTCGTTCCACAGACGGAGAAGTTGAATGCGTGTATAATAATTGTATAATATGTCACCGGAATATAACAAAATCCGCGAGTTTATAATTTATAAACTTTCGTAGGATTCTAAACGAGATATAAATTGTATTATTTTACGCCCACATTTTCGGAAATTGATAAACTTACCGAACTCACGCGTAAAATAATAAGTAAGCGATAACCAAACGGCATGAGCGCGCTGATTGGTTGAATAAGTCACTAATCTAACCTAACTGTGTAGAATCTTACGAATGGATATCCGTTAGTTTATGAATTTACCACGAGACGTCGCGAAATGAAAAACACAATTTATCTCTCGTTTAGAATCCAACGAAAGTTTATTAATTTCCTAGGAAATTTATAAACTTGCAGATTTCGTTATATTCCGGTGACATATAACGGGTGGCGCAAAAGTAATGGCACTAAAGAAAATTTGTTTATTTTTTTATATGACGATTTTCATTCTGTTGTTGAAAATTGTGTAGTGAACAAATGTAAAATACACTGAAAATAAACATGGATCGTTTTACTCACCAAGAACGTGGAATAATCGTGTCAATTCTTACGGAATAATTCATCAGTGATAAAAACACAACGTGAATTTTGTCGACGATTTCCTGCAAGATCACCCGATCTGACGAGTCCAGACTTCTTTCTTTGGGATTTTTGAAATCTCGGGTGTATGTGGACAAGCCACAGACTCTCGCAGCTCTAAAAGAAAACATTCATCAAAAAATAAGGAGCATATCGCAGGAAGTATTACGGCAAGTTATGCAAAATGTCATAAATAGGGCTAGGCAAATATACATTTAAAAAACCTAAATCTAGTTTTCTAATTTAGAAAAAATGTTATAGCTGAACCAAATAGGGTCTTTACTTTTGCGCCACCCAGTACAAATGAATAACATTCGCGAGTTCTAAACCTTCATCTTTTTATGATGGTTCAAAATAACGAAATATAGTTGCCAACAAATGAACGTAGCCAATAATAGATATTAATTTCGTATTCCAAAGGTTCAATATTATATGAAATTTGTTAGTATCAAGTATACGGATATAAGAGACAAAACATATTTATATATCGGCTGTTAATAGAATCTGCAGTGAACGGTTTACGAGGTAATAAATACTGTAACGATTTTGTTTTATAGGACTCAAGCGCATATAATTGATTACTGCTTAGTATCCGTTTAAGATTATTTTATAGTTATTGTTGAATAAAGCTATAAAAGATTTATTATTGAGCTTTATTTAGAACGAGACGAGAGAACTTTATCGCATAGACTATTCGTGCGTAGTTCAGTCATAATTTTATGTTCGAAGAAGTGTAAACTTTGTACTAGAGATAAGCATGAAACTGGTAAGTTGTGAAAAGTAGTGTTTTGATCTACGCTGTGCGCTCGTATACCATAATATCTTCTGTATAAATCGCTTCTCTCAATTGAGTAAAGCCGCCGTGGCTGAGCTTGTGCGTTCAAACCCCTGATGACGGACATTATGAAGAAAAATATATTGAGGAAAATGCCATGTCTTAGAACCAAAAAACCAACAATGTGGGTCGTGCCCAGAAGGCGACTTATCGACTTGGCTATAAAGAGAAAACCATCAACAAAAAGAATAAAAAAATAATGTAATTTAAATTTTCAAAGGTTAATATTGCTTTCTATTTCAGAATATTATTATGCCGCATCAATGGCTCGAAGGAAACTTGCCGGTTGCAGCCAAATGCGATGTGTGTGACAAAACATGCGGTTCTGTGCTCAGGTTTGTATTGTTAGATTTGAATTTAAAGATTGAAATGGCAATATAATAACTAAAAATGTGTTAACATGGAAAAACATCATCCAGGTTGTAGGAGTATGTGAGAAAATTAAGCTTCCAGGCTGGGCAACGTTAAAATATCAACTTTCTTTTATAGAAAATGTTTCTCGTTCATGTCTTATTTTGTATAAGGTCTGTGGGAATTGTTGACATTTCGTTTACGATAGTGTATTTACCTTGAGAAGATTCCAGATGTTACAAACAAGGATTTGTAAGAAAATTGGTTCTTTGCTTGTCTATACAATTCTCTTTAAAGTAAGCGAAATCCTTAGAAACTTGTCCAATACTAATCGATTATTATTATATTTATAATTTTTATTCTCGATTACACCTGATTTTCATTTAATGATTTATGGAAGAGCTTTTACTTTGATGCGTCAACATTACCAGTTTTCGGAAAGTATTTCTTGTTAGAGTTCCGTTTACCTTAGAAGTTAATGTACGTCATGTAATTTATTATGTACGCAAATAAATATTGAACTGAAGACTCGTTACGTGGAATATGTTCACACGAAAATGGCATTCAGAAGTGTGTTTTATAATCTGTAGCTCCTAAATGTCTTTCCAGTCTGTGGTCCATAAGTAAGTCTCTTAAGTAATACAACCACAATAATGACCAAACTTGAGCGGCAGGAGGGATCTCTGCCTACTGAATTCTAATCTCCTTGTAGAAATACTCAGACAGTCCCCAGATTGTCCCCTTTGAGACATTGAATATGTGTTACATATTAAACTGATTTCTTATATACTATATTTATAATTATATACTATAGTTATAATTTTAACAATGTAATTTTGGTATCTATGTATTTAAATAAAATGTAAATTTATGGTTGATAAGATCACTTTGGGACGAACTATTTATTCAGAGCTTTCGATATAGTTTAGACTCATTTATAAACGTTAGATATTACACGACATAACACTGAATAAGTATATAAAAAACCCTTTTGGATCTGGGCATCAGATTTTTCTATCCCTTTCGTGATCATTTATTTTTCTTAATAGTCAAGTAGATGATCAGCCCTTTGTGCCTGACACACGCTGTCGATTTTTTTTGGTTTCCTTCACCGTACGAGCCATTGATAAATGTGAAGTGAAGTCGCAGACTAAAGCCAGAATAAGAATAAGTAAGGTAGTATTTAAAGTAGGTGTAAAATTTCAACTGTTATATTAAAATAATAGTCTGAAGGTAGGCAAATCGCGGTATCCATAAATATGGCCTCAACTTCAATCGAGCCTGAAGATTCAGCGATTCATTTTATTCGGAGCACTGCATAAAATGAATATAGAATTTATTCATTCAATATTGATAAAGCAGAATGTATTGATCTCAATACTTGGGTATAAAAATATTTTTCCATATTCTATTATTATAGGATGTTAGATTGTTTATTTGTTCGGAGAGTAGTTATAATATCTTTACCTTTATTTTTGATAGATTTTTTTTGTATGCGTTTTGTTGACGGCCTGGATGGTTTAGATTCACAAATCAGCCCAGCAGATGGCACTGCAGTCGGTACTATCATACTTTGTTTAATATACTAATCGCTTGAAATATCATGCAGGACAACGTCCGCTAGTCTTATATAAAAGTTCAAGTCCAGTGAAATTACAAGTCAAATTAACTAAATTTGAATGAAGAAACCAATACATTTAATAGTAGCAGTCTTAAAATGGCCGTCTAACATTAATGTAATGTATTCTTGTGCATGCAACAACCGAAACGTCGCGAAATTGTGGAAACGTCTATTTTAAGAAGCACTATGCTGAAAGTACCAACATTCAAATGTTCGAGCAACTTCATTACCATAGAATTGAGTTCTATCTTTTGACATTCTGGAATATAGGTTTAAAAGTCGCGTTACTGTTACCACGTAATGTAATATAATGTGTCTTAAACATTAACAAAAATTGGGGTAAAATCGTGGTATTACTTCCTTTCTCTGAAAAACGAAGTTGAATTTAATAATTGCCTGATGAATTTGTTATTGGCTGGGACTAGCCTCTCGTTGTAAAAACCCTATGGCTGCGTCCCCAGTAGGCAAACTTTAGTTTAGCGGCTGACTGAGTGAGCCGCAAATTTGCAGCGAACGGAAATTTGAGTTAGCTGCAGACTCAAATCAATTTTCGTGCCAAAACCGGTTTTGGTTGCCGCTCACTAAGATAGTCGGCGCGCGTAACGCTGCAAACTGCGTACAGTGAGCGCAAAACTAGCAAACTGTGAACACTCCATTTGAAATATATGGAAGGGCATACTAAACCGATACGCCGCTAACTCAGTCGGCGGCTAACAGTTTGCCTACTGGGGACGCAGCCAACGCGTCTAGAACCAGAGTAGTTCTTGTAATAACCGTAGTACTAATGGCGTATGAAAATTCAATATTGAATTCGAAGCTTTGCTTATAAGAAACATCCTATAATGAAAATATGTCGAGCTATTTTGCTAGGTAAGAAACAGAATCGGAATAGTATTATAGAGTTGATAAGTTACCCTATAGCAATGTCGAACCGCAAGACACACATGACATTTCCTACATATATTAGTTAGGAGCAAACATGCATACAAACTTTGAATCATAGTAACTTAGTTCGGTAAAGTAACTTTAACATGGAAAAGTCATTGTCACCCGAGTTTTGATTTAATGAGGCTTTCACAGTTAAATAAAATGATATCTAGGTACGATTTTGTCGGAGAATTATTTTCTGTACTTTCGAAACGAAATGTATAAATTTCAGATTAAAGTAATGATTGTTTTAATATACTTGCTATATGCTAAATGGTTTTCTTTATCACTAGTGTAACATGACATAACTCGCGGGGTTTAAGTAATATTCACCGTGTTATAATTTTTAAATCAAAATAATTGTGAGATTCAAACAAATTTCTGTACGATTACGCTATTAATATTTTACTTTTTAAGTGTTCATTAATATAACAAGTCCATGTCAGTGAAAAGTATCCGCAAAAATAAAAATAATAGATGCTGAGCAACGTGCACTACAACTTAAATGGAGATGGGCAGGACTTAGCCCGTTATACAGATAGAAGGTTGTCTAAAGAGTACCGAATGGACTGCTCCAAAAGGACAAAGAAATAAAGGCAGACCAAAAGTTGCGATAGGCTGACTTGAAAGGGTTCCTGTAACACTTATGCTACGGCAAAAGATAAGGGGAAAAGTTGGGGGGCCATTCCCTTTACAATTTTTTTCTAACTTAATAACAACGTCTCAGCTGTTACGCGGTTTTACCAAATATGGAGTAGTCCCTTGATGTCGAGTATTTAAAAGATTTTAACTGCTCCGACCACTTACCTTTGTTTGATATACTAGGTGGGTAAAAAAGGCAAATATGTAAGTGCTATAAAGCTGCTGGTTAAAATTATACTATTAGAGCTCAAGAGCTAAATCTAATATTATTATATAATTCAGAAAACGCCTTACCTAACGAAGGACCATCAAGTACGTGCTACCTCCGTCGGGTCCCCACCCTTGTTAAGTATCCTAAATGCTTTATCATACTGTAACGTGGAAACTTCGCTGGGTACATTAAGAATGTTAATGCTACCTTAATTCTGATTCGTCAAAGAAAACTCGTGTAAATATATTGTGAAGTAGCTGCTCCATCATGTTACATGCGACAAAGTACTTCCTCTGCTTTTAACATTATCGAATACTATGCTTAACTGATACAGTACCTAATAACTGAATAGCGTTGGCGATATTTGTGTCACTTAGCATTCGACATCGGATATATGAGGTCGTGTTTTCGATTTCCCTGACTTTTCGGAGAAAGACTGTTGCAACCCCTTATGGACTTGCTTACTACTGGGACAACAATTAACATTTGCTCGAACGTCTCAAGGGAAAGCATCGTTTGGAGCAAACCGACAGAGCTCTTTAGGAGCCTAGGAAAGTCGACGGCAGTTGTAACTCGCGTCAGGTTTCTAGCTAGTTGTTCTAAACCATCCCTAACACACTAAGATTTAAAAATGACCATAAAGCAGTTGGTATTCAGACCATGTAGATTATTCTATGTGTTTAGTATTTGTCTTATGGATCTAGATTGACGATTAAACTCGGGCATGCTTCAACACATTATTCACGCTGAACGCATTAAATACATATACATATATCGTGAACGTTAATGGAGAAACAAATAAAAGCACAACGCAGATGTATATTTTATTAATGTCATTGTAGTAGTTGGTTTATTCTAAAAGAACTTATTACAAAACTTATTACAGAAAATCTTATTATCGTACATATACAATTGTATGAAACTTGTAATTATTTCCTGTCATTTTTCATAACGAATAAGAAAGCTCTTCTGATATTAAATGATACTGCCCCCTATGGATGCTCACACTGCGAAAAAACTCGCAAGTGCGTTGCCGACCTTTAAACTTCTTATGACCTTATCAAATTTAATAATTACAATAAAAAACACAAAAATTGCATTAACATTTATCACACCTAACTTGTACGTACGTACGTTGTAATTAATAAGATATATGGGTCCGCCTAGATGCTATGCAAATCAGCTTAGTGTGAGCGTTGAGTGCTGTTTGTTGTCAGCGGCAAATATATTCCACGACAGTCGACACCCAAGAGGAAATTCCACGTGTAATATAAAATGTATTGTGTATTAGACACGAAATATCATAAACGAAATTTTGTCCCCATTTCGCGTTTCGCAATGTGAATTATATATACGTACGTATGCTGGAAATTTTGCGACTGTAAATATCACAATGATGCATATTTCAGTACAGCGATACGTTTCACTTAATAACGTAACAATATTACTGACTCATTCATTTGTCTAATTCGTAAGTCGCATCAACATTTTGGGCTGTCGATAACCGCATTCTCCAGATTTGGCCCTCCGCGACTTTTTCTTGTTCTCAGACCTCAAGAGAATGCTCGCTGGACAGATGACGCTGATGAAGAGCTAGTCACCGAAACCGAAACCTATATTGAGACTAAAGACAAATCGTACTATAAAAATGATATCGAAAATTATGACCGCTATATTCGTTGTATCGCTCTCGAAGGCTATAACTCTAATCAAATCAAATTCTATCAAAAATAATACTTTTTTCATGGCAGCCTACGAACTTTTCAGTCCACCGTTTAGGACTTAATAACCTTGTTTAGGAACTAATCTTCCAGTTTGTTTTCCACCACGCCAACTTTTTCTATTTAGGATGATGTATAGAATAAATAAATAAAATAAAATAAAAATAAATAACTGAACTACAAGCCTACACTTAGACATAGATATATGTTGCAGCCACAGTAGAAACCTAAATAAATAATACTTACAGGCTTCAAGACTTCCGTTGCATCTGGTGCCGTAAATGCGTCCACGCGAACTGCCGACCCAGCTGGCGTGCTTACTGCTCCTTGGGACCTGCTAAAGCATCGGTCGTCCCACCCACTAGACTCCACTCTGTGGGCCCTGATGACGGGTGGCTTCCGGATAGACCCCCTAACGCCTCACCTCTCATCGTGTTTGTTAATTCTAGATCTGGTAAGTAACGTATTTCATTTAGTTCATTTTATTTACGTGACAAAGTTGTTAGTTATTAATTTGAATATATATAAAATCAAATACACCACTACTCGCAATACTCGTCGAACGAGTTTGCTTATCTTGCCGAAGCCGCGCACAAATTATTTAAAGAAGTCTATTGAGTATGAGGGTGTGAAATTATTTAATCAATTACCCTCTAAAATTCGTAAGGTTAGCGTGTTTAATCAATTCAAAGGGGCATTAAATATACATATTAGAATGAGCCTAATAGACTAAAATTGGGATAGCTGATGGCGACGCGTATCTCGTTCGTATATTTATATTATATTAAGTTTCTCATGTAAATAAAAATACATTTTTTGTAATGAGAAATAAATAAAATATATATTTTTATTTAATGTATGAGTATTTGACACTGCATATTCAGCATAGGAAGTGGGCGTACTGAACACCTATACAATAGTCATGTCAACAAAGGTAGCCGCAGAATATTTTATAAATATATGTTTTGTATATATAGAATTAAAACAAAGTTCACATAAATTATATTTAAAATTTCAGGTGACAATCAAGGCGTGAAGTTCCTTCGTCGTTTCAAGCAATTGTTGAACCCAGCGCAGGTGTTTGAGTTGAGTGGCGCCGGGCCGCGTCTCGGTCTGCGGCTTTTCAGACACTTTGCACCGCTCCGAGTGCTTGTCTGCAGTGGGGACGGATCAGTTGGCTGGGTGCTGCAGGAAATCGATAAACTTGACATCCATGTAGGTATTATTATTGTTGTTTCAAGAAATATACTTGATTTTTTTAAATTTTAAAAGTATTTATTTAATTTACCTTCAAAACCTAAGATTTAGCTGAATGTGCTGATTTTTACAGATATTGTTTTTAACTTTTATGTTAGGTATGTTTAAAGAAATGGTGTATAACATTTATGGCTAAATGGTAGGTATTTCTGTTTATTTAGTAAATGTAATATACGCTTATTAAATTATAATCAGCGACAGGTTCAAACTGCTGTTTTACCTCTGGGCACGGGCAACGATCTCGCCCGAGTACTGGGCTGGGGATCCTCATGTGATGATGCAGCCAACCTGCAACAGTTGCTGGAACGGTACGAGAGGGCTTCCACCAAGATGCTAGACAGGTTAGACAGCATTTTAGTAGGATTATAAATAGTAATATATTTTGTTTGTAGTATAAGGTAGTATGTAAGTTAGAAGTAGGTTTACTTGCATGGAATCGTTGCTACTCGAAGATCTTTAGATCGATTGCCGACGAAAAAATAATTGCTTTGTTACAAAGCTGATCAAATTGAACGATAATTCAAAAATCCAGAAATGTGTATTTTGAACAGGTTAAAAAAATGTGAGCCATCACGGTACGCCTGGCAGATGTGAAACATCGACATTATTTTGAAAAAGTAATATGCAGAAAAGAGCAGATTGTGATAGGAACTAAATATGTATGTCATAATGATAAAATATTACGATTTTTTTCCAGATAACGATGACTATTTATTGAATAAACATTTATTTTCATTAAATACAAAAATTTACGAATTTATTTCAAATCGTCACTACTTAATTCATTTAATCAGTGACTTCGAATACTCACACCGTACACACTACTGCATATAGACTGTGTATATAAACCATCATATAGCGTATATAGCGTGACGCGTCGCCACGGCATGCGACGCCACGCCGGTTTTACGTGCGGCTATAGATGTTTCACATCAAAAGGACTAGCATTGCTACATATTTAAAAATATTGTCACTATGGATTGTAAAGGCTGGGAATTCTTATTAAAAAAATACATAATTTCTTTGGTACAGATGGTCAATAATGTCATTTGAACGTGCTCTAACTGCGCCTCCGCCGCCACCAGTTCCGCCCGACTTGCTTGATGAGAGCGCACTACTGAATAACCTGCAAGAGATTGTTCAGGTACTATTGTATCTAAATTACTTTATTATTTATTTGTACTATGCTTTTATAATTATTTTACCTCTGTTTTCGCCACCGATAAGAAGTGTATCCGCTCTAAACCACAAAAACTTGGAATATGGATACACTATATTGTCTTAAAAAAATAACATTGTTTAATGTTAGTAAACTCTACACTATAGTTGCTCTAGTGCCATACATATTTCACAAGCTTCTTAGTTGCACCATTATGGTAATTAAATTTTTTTTGTTTCGTTACTACAACACAATATTTCATACAAAACATTCAATTCCTGTTTTGCCGGTCTATTATTATTAAAGCAGGTCCTTTTTTGCATTTTTGAAAATGACAACACTGTGAAATGAACTTCACTAAGCTAGTTTGTTATATTTTTAACTATGCGTTTAAATATTTTCAGGCGGGTGAGGCAGGTGAAATAAATAGCGAAGCCCGTGCAGCATTACGCGAAGGGTGCGTGCGTTTAGCGAGCGTGGGCGAACGGGCCGGGGGCGGAGCGGCACGGGCTGCACATCGCTTGCGACGCGCACTGTCTTTGCTGCTACATGCGCGGGCACACATAGCGCACGATCATGCTAAATGCGAGTAAGTAAATGTACTTGAAATGTAGAGGCATATCTAAAAAATTATCGATGATGTGAAAGTGAGGACGAGTTTTTCTTGCCGGTTTATTTCAATCTACACCACGCTATATGTGAACTGGTCATTAAATAATATTACATATAAGTTAAGGTCATAATAGTAAAGGTCATTAGTAAGCGTTCACTTATGAACCAATAAAAAACTACTTTGATAATAGTTAACTCTCCTCAGTATTTAACAACAAATGCTCACTTACCGCATTTTTCTTTAATCTCAATAATATTATTTTTTATTATGTCATACAATTGTTGTGTATCCATTGATAACTAGATAATGTCACTATGATTGGGTATATTTTCTATATAGGGTTGATTGGAAACCTTATCTTAATAATCTGAAATTACAGGTCTTGGGAGGCATTAGAATCAACAAGTGATAGTGAGCCCGAAACTCAACTTGTTGCCGAAAAGGGCAGTATTGAAAAGACTGAAAAGGTATAATATTATTTCCTATATTGCTAAGTTTTTTTACTATTCGCATAACAAATGCATGTACAATGAATTGACCATCACTCCGGCTCGAAGGACCAAATTGCCAATCTATTCATACTTTAAAAATGTGTCTAAGAAAAGTCACTAATTGACCTCATTTTAATTGTGTGTTTCATTATTGGCCCATGCAATAACTTGTTTGGCTAAATCCTTCATCTCGCATAACCATATATAGGAGCAACTGAATTGGGCGGCGCGAGGGTGCGCACTTGCAGGACGCGCGGACAGCGTAAGGCGGGCTCTGCGATCACTTGTGCGAACACTCACGTTGCTTTACCCACCGGTAAGATAACTGTGATAAAATTAATATATATTATTTGCGTATTTTGTGTTATACGAGTAGGTAGTATACATATATTAGGGAGATGTATAACAAAAAAGTAAATGAGAAATAAATAAAAAGGTATATTAGGTCTTCTTACCTATTCACAGAAAATATTCATAACGTTTGCGAGTCCATAATATTGCTCTTACAATGTATAAACATTTTTCTACTTAAATGTTTCATATATTTAAACCAGTCGTTGTATTGTAGGAAGCAAACACGGGGGAACATAACGCTAAAGAGGTAGAGCCAGCTAACACGGGCGAGAATGAAATGTCAGCACTACCGGTGCCCAAAGCTTTTGCTGATAGCCGGCGGTCATCTGCTGCAAGTGCTATCTCTGCCGCTTCTATGCAACCTGAAAAGTAAAGTCTTATTTAATAGCAGCCTTAAATTTGAAATTTTACCACGTTTTTTAAAAAGGTGATTGGATAAAGAGTGTTTTTTTAATTTCAGCATTCCAGATGTAGACGAAGACATAGCTAAGTTAATTAGTACTAACCCAACAGAACAAGCTAATTTGGAGGTAGAGAAACGAGACCGGAGTAAAGCCAGTTCCGCTTCACCCCAAGACCGTCTTTCACTTTCAAATTTATCCTCCTGTGATACTAGCTCCTGCAGGAATCTTCTTAGACCTGACGGGGAACAAGCGAGTGCCACTTACAATAGCAGTAGTCTAACTATACCTAACCTAGTCGTGTCAGATGATAGTGATAAGAGATCGTTAATACAGGGAGAAACTTATGAATCGGACCAATTGACTATAATAGACATCGACAAACCGTATACGGATGAAGTCCATTTTCACGATTTGTGCGAAAGAGCGGCGTCAGCTAGCGGCGACTGCACCCCAGAGAGAAAACTTTCTAGCGTAGACTTAGAGATTGATGCGACGAGCTCAGAAGGGTCCAACATTAGCGATGATTTTAGCTTAATCTCGGAAATTATTGATACAAAACCTGAAGAACTAGAGGAAGGAGGTGGGATGGGACACATTGATTCCCCTGAAATATCAGAAACGACGTACATGAACTCGGAAACTATACATGGAGAATCTATTATGGATGATATTAGCTCGATGCTGGGGCAAGATGTTCTTCTAGCCATGATGGGTAAAAACGGAGATAACGAAACATACACAGACGACACGACATTATTTACTTCTGATACAGTATCAGACATTCCGTTTGATAGTCGTAATCCCAGTATAGAGAAAACACATGAACCAAAAAACAGGTACATATCGAAAATAAAGAAACCTATAGATGCCGACGTAGAAAAATTTGGTTTTGAAAATAGGGTATTTTACCTTGAAAATGCAACTAAAGCTGAAGAACAAGTCAAATACTGTAGCTTAGCACAGTTTGAAGAAGGAAGCGATATAGCGAGGAAATCATTTAGAAAACACATGCGTAAAAGTGTAAAAAAACGTGTTGATGACAGCGGTGTGAAACATTTGCTTCCCAGATCAACAACAGAGGAGGTGCTTAAAACCGAAGAGACATCTCGTGAAGGTTCGCCAAAACCCCAAACGTTACTCAGCTTGGAAGAGAAAAGGTTAGTAGAACACGAGCAAACGCCAATGTTTCCCCAAGTCAGTGTTGTAGTAGAACCTCCATCGCCTTCGCATAGTGATGATAAGAAAAGTATAAAGAGCTCAAGTAGAATGGCTTCAGTTTTGAGTGACATATTCGATCACGGCACAGACACGTTGAGTGTACACTCGCCAGAGCCAAGTATGTCTACTGCAAGAGAACGTCGTCAATCAGATAATCCACGACTTCTTGGCTCTGACTCGGAGTATGGACAGTTTTTAAGTTGTTCACCGGCAGCTACGAGACGAATATCATGCGGAAGTCTTTTCAAACCTGGCGAGCCTGACAAGTAAGTTTTCGTAGTTTTTTTACATACAAATAATAACAGTAATATTTGAATAAGGAAACTTTCAAGATTTATATATTATACTCACCTGTACGGTATATTAAATAACTTTATTCTTTTGTTTTTTGTGAAGCAGACTATCAACATCCGTGTCGTCGATTTGGGGGGAAGGCGGTTCATTTGGAGGTTGTCAAACAAAATCGGAAGCTAGTGACAAAGCTAAAAAACTGCCAATAATCAATCCCTTAGTTCAACTGCCTGCTTGGCCCCACGTCACTCAAGGGTTTATAAGCCAATGTCTCCTTGCAAATGCTGATGCTCTATGTGCAGCTGTAAGCCCGTTAATGGACCCTGACGAAACACTTCTGGAAGGGTTCTATGAAAAAGCTGTGATGAATAATTACTTTGGGATTGGGATTGATGCTAAAATTACTCTGGATTTTCATAATAAAAGAGAAGAACACCCAGAGAAGTGCCGGTCGAGAGCCAGAAATTATATGTGGTATGGTGTTCTGGGATCTAAAGAATGGGTCAACAGGACATATAGGTGAGTTATTAAAAACTGACGCCATGAAGTAAAGCTAAGATAGAATGCCTATAATCAAAGATTTCTTTATATTTTTACAGACATTTAGGCCAACGAGTCCAACTTGAATGCGACGGTCAGAGAATTCCATTACCAGAACTTCAGGGAATCGTTGTCCTAAATATACCATCGTTCATGGGTGGAACCAACTTTTGGGGTGGTACACGCGGCGATGACCTATTTTTGGCGCCATCTTTTGATGACAGAGTTCTGGAAGTATGATTTGATTGATTACTTTTAATTATTTCTAACAGATTCTTTTTTTTTTTATTAGCAGGCTTAGTTATCAAATTGATAAAACACACTATAACATTATAAAATTAAATAATAAATAACTCATCAATTACATATAACATTTTGTATTTTACGTAATTTCCTTCTTCCTTCGTTTATTTCCTTTTCTTTCCCAGCAATTATAACCTGACCAGAGTCCACAAAAATATTATTCTTTAATAATGTAATACGTATATTTATAACTAAATAAAACACCAAACAAATGAAAGGTAATAATGTAAATGTATTAATTTATAATTAACAATAAGTCATTTAATGTACATTAAAATTATTTACAAACGGCATTCAAAAACATAATCCGAATTTATAAATTTCCCTTAGGTAATATATTTTATTTACTTTACCTTAGGTAGTAGCAGTATTTGGTTCAGCGCAAATGGCAGCATCTCGTCTCATAAATCTGCAGAAGCATCGGATAGCCCAGTGCCGGGCAGTCCAAATTAATATCTTGGGAGATGAATGTGTCCCCGTGCAGGTGGATGGAGAAGCTTGGCTCCAGCCACCGGGATGTGTGAGGATTATACACAAGAATCGAGCTCAGATGTTATGCCGTTCTAGGGCCCTGGAGACTAGTTTAAGGTAAATTTTATACACGTATCAACTCTTAGCAAAATTCTTCAATAACGTAGAAATCGGCGCGTAACGTAAGAGTTTTGTGGGTAGAAAAGTGTGAAAAAACACATTAAACCGCTTCTCTAGGGTCCTCTAGAGGAGATATAAAAGTCTACTCTTGCATTCTTAAGACACTACCTACTACTTACGTTGCCAACTTCATAAAAGACTAAGATAAGAAAACTTGGACAAAAAAACTTCTCTAAGCTGAAATTTGGCAAAAGGCGCTCGAAACCCGTTATCGCCTCCAAAGCTTTAAACATTGCATAATAAAACCGGAGTTCTTTTTTCATATACATGGAAAAAACTAATTTAATATTCCTTGTACATTTTACATTCTGACTGAATTTATTTTAAATCGTTATTTAACATAATATATAAATGGAAAATATTTCTTCTGTATCTATTTTAGAGCATGGGACGAAAAGCAACAACAGAAGTCCCAAGTTGGTGGATCAGCGCGTGCTTTGCCACCATCGGAAGCCGCTCATCTGCTAAGCCTACTAGATGATATCAACACTATCGTTAAGCATGTATGTGATGTGTATATAGATGATGATGAATCTGAAATAATTGTTTGCTCTTAGTGTAACACAACCCATATAAATTAAAATTAGTGGGCAGAATTTAGATGTATTCATACTTCTCGTTTTAGTATATATTATGAAACAACATATAGTTGTTGCAACACCATTGTATCTAGCTGCTGCTTAAGAAAGTTCTGTAATCTGTGTTCTCAAAATTGTAAAAAATTGCCCATAATTTAATTTCATTAGTACATTATTATTTTTATAAAGTGTTCATTATCATGTGCCCAAAGTAATATGACATAAGTTTGTTTTTTTTTTTTTTATTTCAAAGAAAAATAAAATACTAGACTTAATATACCAAGCACTTATAGGAAACATAGACACGAAGAAAAACTGATATACCCGTACACCGATTCATAAATTATAAAAGTAATGGAAATTACTAATAATTGTTTTTATTTGTGAATCTCTTATACAAATCATACTACACACAATCTCACTTCTCACTCTTAGCTCTAACCAGATACCTGTATCTTTTACTTAAAAGGGTCCTCCAATTCCTATTGCAATAATATATGATCTTAAAATGAATGAACTCATTTTTCAGGTGAAGTTAGCATGTATCAGCGATAGTGGGTCTGGCAGGATATCAAGTGCTCTGTCAACAGCCAGACGTGTGGCAGCACAAGCTGACGCTTTACAGGATGCAGATGGCAGATTACTTCCCGCTCCACAGCTTAGAAGATTGCTTGCGGCACTGGTAAGCTGATTATACTATTAGAATTACAAATATAGTGAATTTCAAACTGATATCATTGTTATACTTGTTTATGAAGTCCGCATTTTGTTATAATACAAGATACATCAAAATTAATGTTTTTCAAAAGTTATCAACAATAATTTATTCTAGAATTTGACAGACACAAAATGTTATTTTAAATTAAAATTGTGGTATCGCGTTTTTATCGCTTAAATAATTATATAGGTAAGTATATATATATATATATATATATATATTATTATACCTACTACGTAAGTAAAAAGAATAGTAAGCTTCGGGTTTGATGTTTATGTGAACTAAAGGTGTGACTAAAACTGATGGCGTACAATTTTTTTTGTATAATAGTAATGTAAAGATGGTGCATTGTATTGTAGTAAAGGTCCGTGTGGTTGGAGTAAAGGTCTTGAACAATGGCGCCTGGAGCGGCGGTCTGTCGGTGCACCTACAACAACCTCTCTTGGCGTCATTGGACTGTGGCCGATAACTACGAACACGAAGATAAGAAGATTAAATATAAAATTATCTAAGTAAAAGCTCCTTATTCGCGCTTCCTTCATTCGCGTTTTCACTATTCGCGCACTAAAAAAATGCGACCCAATTCCAATATCCGCGGATCTAATCGGTAATAATAATCCTATGAATATTATGGAATACTGGAAGAAATTTGACATAGCAAAACGCATCGTAAATTTGGAAGAACTGAAGCCACACACATTGAAGTCATGCTGCAAAAAGCTGTGGCCTACTTTGACTGCGGAAAATGACGAAAAATCTGTACAAATTCAAACTTTGACTGCAAATATAGCTAAAATTGCGAATGGAACAGGACGATATGGGTTCGAACAGATAGAATCTAGTGACATTCAAGAACTTCTTGAATCGCAAGATGAAGATTTAACTGAAACCGACTTGGAAGAAATGTTAAATTCACAGCCCATAGAAGAAGAGGCTTCAACAAGCACTGGAGACGTGACATTTATATTAGAAAAATCTTAGTGTAGACTTAAGAATGGCAAATGAGCTTTGTGATTTCTTTATGACAATTGATCCGTCTATGGAACGAAGTCTTATTTTTAAGCATTTATTAATTTTAAAGCATGCGCTTCATGTCACATTGCATTACCACTTTATTATTGTGCTAATGCAATGTTTTTTTTTTTTCCTCCTTTGGGGAAGGGGCTTTTAAACCCCCCCCCAAAAAAATTACACTTAAACCATGCTAACTGAAGATACAATATGGTCAAAAACTTTAATTAAATTGTTTTTTTAACTTTTCTTGTCACCTACCAAAAAATTTTTTTCCGGGCACAATTTTTTAGCTCATTAAATTTACTATCTACTCACTAAGGGGTTGATTAGAGGGGGGGCTTGGGTGTTTTTTTTTTTTTTCCCCCCCCCTTTTAAAAAACCCCCAAATTTTTTTTTTCCCCTTTCCCCTTTTTGGGTTTAAAAGATAGATAGTAGTCGATTCTCAGACTTACTGAATATGCATTAAAAAATCATAAGAATCGGTCGAGCCGTTTCGTATATGGGAACGAACATTCTGACATGACAATTTTATATAGTAGATTTATTATATTTACATAACTTGACATCAACTTGATGTCGCAGTTCCTCCCTGGCCATCATTGCTGAAAAAATCTCGAAACGATAAATAATGTAAAAATTAACAATTGACGTTTACATACGATAAAAACGTTTTATTTAAATGTGTTCGGTATTAATTACTTTTGAATTGTATTAAGAATGAGGCAAGGTATTTAAATAATTCCAGATTGAAAGCTGCCATGAGCTGCTGGATAGTGGGGCGGTAGGCAGCGCGGCTTGTGGTTTGCGCGCGCAACTTGCACGGTGCGTCATCAAGGACGGATTCGTCTATATCAACGCTGAAGAGGTATACTCGTCTCATTTCATAATAGCATCACAAATATATTCAACAGATTTTTACAAACCAAGAAAGATATGACAGATTTTGTGCCTATATATTTTACCTGCATTTATGTAATTTAGTATTGCCAACTATAAAGTAAATGTCCGAAATAATTTTAAATATCGGCCAAGATACATAAGAATAAATTGATAGTTGATATGTTATACACCCATGAACACAATTAAATGATGTTATATAGCTAAACACTGACAATTAATTAGAATTATATTTTCCGAATACATACACCTACCCACTCCAGTCACCAGAAATCTCACGATCCACACGAAAGCTATCCTTAGAAGGTATACCTATACTTTGTATAAACACCCCGTCATTTCTTTTATGACACGTTTAGATTTTTATTATCAAAACTTTTTATATTGCAAATCAGTTTTTGTTTCATTTAACGCCATACCATGGCTAATTATAGAACATATTTTATCTTCTAGTATACTTCAAAATAACTTTACAATAACGACTATCTAAACTTTCCTTTCCTCACACCTATTCTACTACTTTGCGTTACCCAACCTTCTGCCCTGCCATAACCTCACTTTCATCACCTAGGCCCCGAAGAAAAGCAGCCGCTGGCTGAGAAGTCGCCGAAGCGTGTCCGAAGGTGGCACAGCGCCAGCGCAGACTGCCCAAGTCAGGTCGTGGGGCATCAAAGAAGTCCAAGCCTGGCTAGAGACCATAGAGCTAAGCGAATACTCTGAAGCTTTCGCGAAACATGACATCACTGGGCGGGAACTCTTGTCCCTGGCCCGCCGTGACCTACGCGATCTGGGAGTGACGAAAGTAGGACACGTTAAGAGGATCCTTCAAGCTGTCAAAGAACTACAGTGACGTCGACGAGGTCGTTCTCAGGAGAACGACCACAAATAAAATATTACAAGTAGGTATTCACAGATAATGACGGCCAGTATGTATTTGTAAGTTGCAAAAATGTATAATCAAATAATGCAAATGTAGGAAAGTGCATTTTACTGAATTAAAACGTGTTTAATTATGTCGTTATAATTCTGAAAAATGTATTTTCTATCGAAAAGGACTAGACATTTAACTTGGTCCTAAGCCAGACTTGGATATCATTTATTGGAATATGGTTGCAAACGGTAGAAGTTTAAGACGTCATTATCAATAGTGATTACTGATTACCAATCTCCTTTTCCGCAATCTATTTATATCTTTTTGAAACGTCATTTTTATTCTTCGATCCTAAAACGTTGTGAATTTACTCTTAAATTAATAAAAGCTCAAGGAATTATTTTTAGGTTAAGATCTTAGTGTGGATCCCAATCGCGTTTCCCCGTTAGATGTATGTATGACCAAAGTATAGTATATGGCCTAGTGATTGTTTATACGTACCTCCATTTTAATGGCAAATTTAATCAAAGAAATATAAAAATAGGTTTGACCTAACCGATTATTAGTCACGAACCACATACTGATATAATCAAGCACACTTTCTAAAAATAATACTACTTCAAAATTTAAGTTTAACAAAACTTTTAAATTAAGAAACCTACGAGACAATTTCATTCGTGGTAGTAGAGATAATACTGATCTTCGGTAATTGGATAGAATTGACTCTAGCTTCGATTATTATAATTATGATATTACAACGAAACCCAATTACGAATTACTCAATTTCTTGTATATTGGATATGAAAACTCTATATTAAAGATTGATACCCCTTGTAGACAAAGATATGTTGCGAAAAGCGTGACCCACTGACGCCCGTCGAATGAGTATACACGTGTTCGCATGAGTTAATGACATTGGTCTAAAATTATACGCTTTGTCCAAAACCCGGAAACAGATGATATACAACAACGCATAGAGTTTTGCAAATTTTAACGACATCTTTTTGTTAAACTTATATTTTGAAGCCTAAAGAATTTCTTAGCCAAAGTTAACGTCATAGGATACATTATACTACTTGAATATAATAAAATTGCCATATTAAAAATAAGTCTATTAACCCTAAACCGAATTCATCTACCAACTATTGTAATAGCCTGTCAACCCTGAGTTGCATAACAGTGTGTTGTTAATAAACGTACTATAAGCCGCAATTAGTTAAATAATGTGTCTTTTAGTACGATTATGACTAAAACCCTTAGTGGAGTAATAGCGATTGAAACATAAATCTATTTTTACCAATTTTGAATATCTATACCCACCATTTGTTACTATACTGTATTGTTTAATTTAATTTGGCATCTTATATGCTTAGCATATTTGTTAGTGCCAAAACTTTGCTTTTATCTCGTTATATTGCCTTATATTCTTTAGAAACATCGAAAGCTTACCTCTTTTTCGTAAATCCAACGAAATTAACAGGCTTCCGAATTTTCATTGCAAATAATTTCTTTGCAAACACTCTTAGAGTTTGTAAGTTTTATTCGTAATCTTGTACATTGTTATACGATTTGAAATTTAAAAATCTGTCAGATATTGAATTTTTCTTATTAAGAGGGAACAGACAGGCGAATTTACTAGTAAAATCTTACCGATTTTCATATATTTGCTAAATGTCTACACATATTTGTCATATAAATACTACTATAAATTTCTTACCTGTCATAAAAGCTAAATCATTCTTTTAAAACTATTTTTTTCTACTTGAACTTAATAATACTTAATTATTTGTCTACGTCTACAGATAATGTTAGTTTCTGACTGGTCGAACGCATATATTTTGAAAACAACACGAATATAATTTGAACGGTGACTTTTCGAGTTTAAACATTATTTATATCTATCGATGTATATATTATTATATTACTACAGCATTGCGATGACTGTTCGATCTCTTATCATGGCAGCGTTACTACAATTTAAAAGAAAAATACGAAACACCTTTTTCATAAAAAAATAATACGTCCATTTGCTTCGAAATTTTATCTGAAGTATTTATTATCTCTTTTCATCACAACTTAAACACAATTCGACAGAAAGAGATGAAATAGTACTTTGGCTAAAAGAGACTTTTGGGACTCATTTGTTTTTTATGAATAAGGTTAGAATATTTAGGTAAATCAGTGTTATAAGGTTGATTTAGTTTTGACGAATAAGGTTTGAATCCAACGCCACGTGATATGGCGAATATAATCTTTCACTTTGTATTCTAATTATTGTTAAATTAATATGTTCCAAATATTAAAGTTCCATTGTTGTATCCCCGCTTATTATATTAAACTAAAAATAGATATTTATAAAGTATTTTAAGTATTGCCAGACATATTTGTGACATTAAAAACCGGTTATTAGTATAGACTTTTGTGCATCATAGTTTTGTACAAGATTCATCGACTTTACGAAAACTATCGCGTTTATAGCCTGTAGCTGTATTTTAGTCTTTGGTAAAAAAGTAGATAATGTAAAAAAATTATCGGATCTACCATAACATGCAAGTAATTTGCAAAATTAAAGTTTCCATATAACATTTCATGGTATTTGATATACGCGAGAGTTTTCAGTCGAAACTTGTAATCATAGAAAGCTAACTACGTATTTTCTTCAATTATACAGAATAATTAGGCTATTTTAAAACTCCAGTAGTTCCACATTGAGTAGCTGTTTCGCTTTAACATAGACATAAATGCAATTCAAACACTTTGACACAGATATTATAGTTTTCATTTGACTTATAATGAACAATCCAATAGAATATAGTTAAATTTACGTATAATTAGGGTTAGTACACTAGGCGCAATAGTGTATTCAATTTTATTGGTCCGTAGATAGTTTACTGTAGGTGTCTTAATCTTGATTCTAAATGATACAAGCAATCTCATTACTTTTGTCCCTAGGGACAAACTAATGTGAAATATCGTTTAACATAAAATGTGATCTCTCGTTTTTAATCTGTAGTTCTAACGTGGTCGCGCTGGATGTTTTCCTTTTTGCCTAATGGTAAATTTAACTTTTTTAGTTTTCTAGATAGATACATTAATCTAGGGAAACTCCATCGCGATCGCACCCTAAAGGAATCTGCCTTATAGGTGTTTTTATAAATTTACCTTTGAGGAGTTATTTCTACTTTTGAGATGAATGAGTGTGTGTCTCAGCTGTACTAAAAGTCGTCCATTAAATGATTACGGTGAATTAAAACTTAACAATCGATTGTATAAGGGAGCTTCAAGTATTACAAGTAGCGGCACGAAACTCTAGCGCTGACCGTTATTGCGCAGAAGTAAAAAATAAGGTACCTGAGGGGGGGGCTAGCGGGCGCGCGTAGCGTCGATTGGCTCTCCAGTCGCATTCCGTCCCCCGCGCGACAGTACACATGCGCAGCAAGCCCCTCCACGATCGGCCAGCGCTAGACTTACGTGCCGCTGACTATACGTAACGCAATTTTTGGAGATTATTGACACCCCTCCAATTTAACTCGCCGTAACGTTATTCAGTACCCAAGTATGGTAAAACGTTTCGTGACCACCTAGTGACTAGTGACTTTAGTTACTATTATGTGATGTAAGTCGAAAAAAAATATTAACAATAACGCGTAATTTAATCCCCGCCCCGCATCGTAACGTTTTACAAAAGGACCAAAAAAATACGTTACGTAATACTTGAACGCTCCCTAAGTAACCGTTAACTTTTAATTAACGACTCTTAGTGCGGTTATAACTATTTATATAAACATTTCGCCGCCCATCGCGGCATTGCCTTAGATCACTTAAAACTATCGATTGACATGCTAAAACAGACTTAAAGTCTTCGAATATTCGATAATAATGTCGTAATGTATCTTCAAGTTTCGTTTTAGATAAGTCTAATTTTTTTTAATTCTTGTAAATAAATGACTGTTGTGATATGAATGAACGTAAATGTATTCATGTATATTTTTATCATTTACATTGCTCTATAAATTCATGTTTTGCTATTGTGGATATAGTTTATAAGCCATTCTCTATGGTTCCATGATAGATTTCTCTCAAAATGGTATTTAGAAAGCATATCAATATAGGAAATATTTATTTTGACTTTTTTCCTATTTAAACCATGTCTCATTATTTTAAAATTTGTAGCAATAATTTAATGTGTTTAGTTGTAATTAACCAGTATATTCAATATATTGTTTTATTGTATATTTAAAGATATGTTAACGTGCGATACGTTTAAATAAATCCATTTATAACATTGTAAGAACTCAAGAGCAAATTAATTTGTTTCGTATGAATAATTTATCTTCCAAAACTAGTCATATGATGTTCCTTTTTTAGGGTTATCGATGTTAATGATAGTTTCTGAAGTAACTTAAAAGTTTTGTTCCAAACTACTGATATGATATATCATTTTCTATTTATTTAACCCTAACCTATGGTTGCAAAACAATTATTTAATGATTAATATGTTTATTATAAAAGCAATATATTGTAAATTTGTAATTCCGTATTTTCAACGTTACAAATTTGTGTGAACTTTTTTACTGTTGATTTCGAATGACGAAGACTGAAACTGTATATTTATTTCGGTGCTAAGCTGTTGTGTATCTTTGGTTTGTTACAAAAAATATGATGATTATAACTTTATGTGTTATTTTAACCCTTATTTATTTCAAGAAAACAATTTTGCTCAATGTTGCATTATATTTTAGTATTTAATACTTGATTATCAGTAATAAAAACGCTGTGAATATCTTCGAAATTGAAATAAAAAGTACCTCTTTGATTAATAACAAAACTACCATATTACAAATACGTTTTTAAAACAAATATGGTCCCGGTTCGATTTCTTTCGAAAATGTTACATATATATTTTATATTCACAGGGTTCTTGTTAACATTCAAAAATTGCATTGTTTGATCTGTAGTGTTGTACGTTGTTAATTGTATTAATTATCATCGCTTTTAATAGCCTTTAGTTACATAGTAATTTCAACTCGAATATTTTCTTAAAAATCGTAATCTCACTCATTAAATTTTATATCTTTATCGTCATCACATTTCTAGGTATGCTGTTTAAAACGTCAAGTTTCATTTACAATATTTATAAATTATAACTGTCAAAACACGCACGTTCGGATATTTACGCGGAATGTTTTATGTTATTGTAAATGTTTTATCATTCACTTAGAATCGTGCATAGACAAATCAATAATAGAAATAAACACGGTAAATTTATATCTTTGTTAAATGTTTAACACTTCACTAAAACAATAAACAGCATGCCTATTTTAAAATTGTTATAACTCTCTTTATTGCGTGCGTGTGGACTCTGTTGATAATAAATTTTTAATCAGATTATCGTGTATTTTCTCTAATTTATATTTGGGAATTCAATAAATTATACTGTTACTTATTTGTGTTTTTAATTTCTCATGATTATACCTGTCAATTACGGGGTCTCAATGACATTAAAACTATAGAAAGTTCTATCAGTCCCGGATTTACCACCTCCGCTCCTGGCGGTAGCCCAAGCTTATCAAACGAATTCACTACCTAGGCATTATCGCGGGTAGTAAAAAAAAATAAAAATAAATAATAGATGGACCTGTATACCATTTCGATCAAAGAAGTATGTTTCTTACAGACAACAAAAAAATAATTATTATAAAATAATATATTAAATATGATAATTAAAAAAAACTCAAAACGACACTAAACCAATATATACAGGTAAAAATATGCGAAGGGAACAGGAGTCAGGGCCGCGCCGACCCCCGGCAGCGCCTGTGTGCGAAACCCATGAAGCGCCTCCTCTTTCTATAGGGGTCAAACGAGCCTTAGGGACGGACAAAAATGGCAGTCATTGAATCTCATAGACATTTTTAGCGGGTGTGTTGCAGGCCTTTGAGGGAACTCCTTCTATATTTCGGCCTATTTTTTAAGAATCTTCAAGTTTCAATGTATTTTTTAATTTTTGTCCGAAAGAAAAAATTTTCTTTAGTTTATAGGTAAAACGTAAAATCCACTTAATAGGTTAAACGTCCGCTGGCCAATTGCCGTGTAAAATAAAACGCGAATTAAATTGTTACATAGTTTATTTATGATGTTATTTTTATCTAACCGTTTTTAAGGTCAGATTTATGACATATCTTTGTAATAAATCCTATCTTTTAGTAGAGGACGAAAAATATTTATATAGTTCTTGCACAATATTAAAAAACCCAGTCGTGTATGAGATGTGCAGCGTCATTTATTATTAAATTTAAACTATGGCTGGCGCACGGACATAAAAAGTGCGGAGATTTACATCCCGCAATATTCTTACCTTACTTATTTGAGCCATTATCATAGCCTTGCCCCCTTAAGTTCTTTATGTCCAAATTAATTTCGTTTAGTTTTTCTATTATAAATGACGTTACTCCAGCGCTAGTTGTATCTACGATTGGGCAGAAAGTGCTATTATAAATTGGAAAGCTAGGAAATGCTCTCTTATTCTTAACTTTCTAGTTTACATGTTAAAGTTGACAAATCTTATTATCATACTAATTTGCTCTTCGTGTGAAACGTCAGTAGTACAATCCAGTATTATTGAAAAATATTTATTAATTCGACATAAATTTAAAATAAAATGTTGAATTTGGTTACCGAGTATAAAAAATAGTTCATTTTGGATTTTATCAAGGTATGTCGGCATATTATTGAAATCATAAGACATAAACACACTCAAAAAACTCACGGCGGTCACCAGCGGCCTTTTTTTTGATTCGCTAAGCTCTGAGTAATTAATGTAAACTAAAACCTAAAGCGTAAAATGAAACTTCAAACGTACGTAAGAATATTGTAGTGTAGTATAAATAATTTCGGTGGCGGCGCCCTTATTGTATTAGCGCCTGTGTGCACCGCACACTTCGCACATATGGGCGGCGCGGCCCTGACAGGAGTGAGAGAAACGGAGGGATAGACGATTATTGGAGCCAAGACAATGGAAGTTATTCAAATATTAGAGAGGTACTAGAGCAATATAGCTTTTTTTGCGAAGAAAAATTCGCCGATAGCTAATTGATAATAAAATTGATTTGGAATAGATTTATTTACCAATATATGATTGAAGTAATGAAATTAAACGCACATATTTACATAATAATAAAACAGAGTGCGTGCGTACAAAGTACACATGTCAGAAGTGAAACTAATTTTTAAGTCTTGTTCTTATTTATACAAATGTAAAACTTTAGATTACCGAGACATAGATGGAGGGATAAAGGAAGATATGTTAGGAATTTAATTGTCATTAAATATTAACAGTGTCGAAAATTAATACAAATTATAAATTTAATTTTTTTAATTTATTTCTTCGATAATAAAAACACGTGGCATTTTTTCAATAAATTATTTTGCATAAAACTAACTACTAATATTTCATAAATTCTCTTTACGAAATTTTAGTTTAAAAAATAGAATTTCTATAAGGTAATTCGCACTTCTCACTCTCTCTCAGTCGGTCTCAATTGCTCTCTGCCTTTTCTTCGACAAAAACGCTGCACGCCTTCGTGACGCTAAATAAAAATTTTACCCTCATGCGCCTAAAGAAATTTTGCTTCAATAAAACATCGTTATTATCTATTAACAGCCTTTATTCTTTCAATCGTTTGACATTTACCTAACAATTGCATCATTTCCGCGACACTCGGCCCTTCACTCAACCCACTTAGAACGGATCTGAGCATTTTCATCAACTCCGGAAATTTCACACTATTCTTCGAAGAAATCTCTCGTAACCGCTCCTTAATTGAGTTTTCATTAAATTCTTCTAAATTTTCCAAATTGTCCACTACATCATGCAGTAAAATTTTATCGACTTCGCTTTTGTTTGAAGGTAGAATCCATAAAAAGCCAAATGTGCTTGATACCAAATCTTCTATTTTGTTGATTCTTGAAGTCGCCCATAGTAAAACACTTCTAATGTGGTCATCAGAGATATTCAGGTTTTCTGTTTTATATTTTTCTTTAATTAATAATTGAAGTTTAGCCACTAATTGTGATGATAGAATCGGGTCTTGTATCTGACGCTTTATTTCTAACCTATTACACTCTTGTAATAAATCCGGATTAAGCCGGCTCGGATGTGCAGATATTTTGTCGATCTGGAACTATTTTATTAGAATTATACATTAAATTAATCAAGTCTTTATCAATTTATCTAATTAATAATCTTTTTTTTTCGATTGTAGTGTTGAAGAGCGTCACTAGCCGATTGTCAATGGGGGCAGGATGGAAAAATAAAAATTATATAAATTGAAAACTTCAACATGGTCTTAACTGTACAATAAACATGTAAACATAGTAACTACTATCTCTAGGAGGGGAAAACTGCCCCTACCTATGCCTGCCCTCCCACTCCCTGGCGACTCCCTTGGTAGAGATTTAACTAGATTTTTAAATGTTAAAAGATAGTAGTAAAAAGGTCAAAAATTTATCAAATTAGGAATTTCAAAAAATTTCAATGTTTCCTGCATAAACATTTACAATTTATTTTACTATATATTTCTTTTATTGTGCAAAAGTTTAATATAAACACAGTAAATCCTACCTCCTGTGCTAACTCGTCCATAGTTTTAAGTCTAACCCCTTCCCCGGGCACATGCTGGAAGCCACCACCCGACAATGTTATGAAATTCACCAGGGCCAGCGGGTAGACTCCTAGAAACCAACCTTAGTATTTAATAAGGGATTATTTGGCAATATCTTAAGAATATAGCTAAACTATTTGTTTTCAAAGTTTTTAACTAATTTCTGATCGTCTGGAAAGCAGAAAATATTTTATGGGTGTCATAAACATCGCCCCCAGTAACATTTTAATAAAATACCTGTTCCTACTATTTTATGAAGTAAAAAAATAATAATGGAGTCCATTATTAACATCCAGCTCTTTTGGTAGAAGAGCACCAGCCGATCATTGACCGTAAGTACGGTTTTCACCGTGGTCGTTCACCAGGTGATCTTTAAGTATACCTTACTCGCAGTTGAGCTGAGGCGATTGAGTCCAAACGGGTTTCGCTGTGACCAAGCTGAGCGCCTCGATCGCCTTCGATCAGGTATAGCACAAGGCAAATCACTTGGCACCTCTTGCAAATCTTTCAGTTTATGGGCTACCGGTGAAATTGTGCAAGGATATACAGCGTTTTAACCCATCGGAATATCAAAATCGTTATTGACGGTGAATGATCTAAATGGCGGAGTTCTTTAAGTACTCTCCCTAACACTGTTCCTTTTTTATATAATAGCGTGCAAACGGGCAGCAGGCTCACCTGATGTTAACATCAGAGATAAACGATTCCATGAACACTCACTTTACCAGAAGTCCCGCAAGTGCGTTGCCGGCTTTTAAGAATGAAGGACGCTAAGTCGAATTGGTTTGGAAATACTTCAGTGGGCAGCTGGTTCCACAGTGGTGCTACGCGGCAAAAACTGCCTTCAAAACGCTCATTTGTGGAAGGACGTCAAGGTAATACGAGTGGTGTAATTCTGCATATTAAATATATGTTGCAGTTTAGAATTCATTGCTATGTGGAAAGCATTGGGGACGCCTTTTACATCGTGCAAATATTTCTCGGGTTGATGTCGAACAGAGTCGTCGTTGTGTCTGGAATCGAAACTATAACTCAGGGTAGTTGAATTTAAGACACAAGTTTCCACGTTCACCGCTAAGAAGAATCCCTTCATAACACTCCCCTTAAAGCCTCAGCTAGTATCGGAATACTCAATGTCGATATATAGAACGACGTTCAGTTCCGCATTCATCTGGAGAGGAAGGCTAAATTAGCGTGGCGCGAAAGTACCAGTTCCTTTCTTTGGACCGCATCTAACGCAGAGCGGATCGTCGACGACCTTGTTCTTTCTGATCGACTTGATCCTTCGGTGCTGCGTGATGTGAGCTCTCTCTGTATCTTCTATCGCACATATTGGGAGTGTTCCGAGGAACTCTTCGAAATAATAGCCGCAGCTAAATTATCAACGGACGTCAAAACTGATAGCAAAATTCCACCCGGGGAACAGCGGGGACCCGCCAGACGTCCTTGAACTCTGGCAAGTCACTCTGGCAACAAAGTCCTTTGGAACATCCTTCTTGTCGCGCACTACTATTTCATGGAATCAGCTGCCAGTCCAGGTATTTCCGAACCGTTACGACTTAGGGGGCGTTCAAGTATTACGTCACGCAATTTTTGGAGATTTTTTTGCTTCATATCCCAGCAAAAAAATGAAATAGCAAGATGTGTACACAACATTTACCTTTATCTTTATAATCTTCGACACGAACATCATTTTGTCTTTTACTTAATTTAGTTCCGTCAGCATTCACGATAAGTGGCAAATGACCGAATTGTGGTGGTGTCCATCCAAATGCTCTAAAATACTCTTATATTATAAATATTTGGTACAATATTACGAAACATTAATATTATGACTTACTATATTATTTTTATTACTATGTTATTTATAGTTTGACGGTAAAACTAGCTTTGATTTTTGAAATATTCTACTATACTGAAACAATTGAAGCAAAATTGGGGTGTGTATAATGTGCCATAATTATACACCTGTTTCATTAATAATATTTCTCTACAAGCAAGTATCAACCATGTTAAAGATATATTTTTTTTAAATTAAGAAATTATGATACTTATAGACAAAAAGCCTTAGGGGTTCTAGTTAATAAAGTTCTATTATTTAATTTCAAGATATGTAAACCAAATACTATTTCTAAATAACATACCTATAAATAAGTAAATGTTTAGTAGTTGATATCTGCCATTCCACACCGCGCAGCACATGCGTAATATCCATTAAATGATCATCAACAACATTTGCAAAGTGATAGGTTGGATAACCATCAGTTTTTACAAGGACTGGATCACCTTCTACTAATGATACATCATAAGCTATAGCACCAAATATAAGATCGTCAAATGATAGACAATCAGAAGACAGCTGAAACAATAAAAAATATTTAACTTATTTTAAGGCCAGCAGTGAACTTTTTTGAGTTACATATTTATAGAATACACACGCAGTTTGTGTGTGTGGAATAAAGGCCAACCATAATATAAGAGTACAATAGCTAGATACTGAGAATTCTGGTGTCCAGGACAGAATGGGTGAAAAACAGAAGCCTTTAGATTTTTTTATTCTTGGATTACAAACTTTTAGTCAGCCAACCTGATTTCCTATCCAACTAAAAATTTGTAAGAACACCATAAAGACGCGTTACATGGGGGGGGTCAATAATCTCCAAAAATTGCGTACTAAAACACTTAAAATTTACCCTGAGTTGCAGAAATTCAGCCAGTCATAAGTATGTTAAGCAACTGAAATAATGCCTGTCTAGCCTGAGAGTACATTTTACTAGGAATACTTATGTTAATAAGATACAAACCTTGAACCTAATGCAATAAGGAGTTCCTGATTTTATTTTCTCATTGACTACTTCGACTGGCAAATTCCTGCATTTGTTATCATATTTAGGAACCTGCTGACTTTTCACAGCATTCCGTCTTAAAATATTCAATCTCCGCTCAGTACAAAAACATCTGTATGCCGATCCATTGTCCAATAGCTTTTGAATATATTCTCTGAAGTTATTGAAACATTTAATTATATTATAAGCTTTTCAAAATTAATAAAATATTTTTATAAATCAACAAAACTTAAACCTAAATTGGCAAAAAAGTAACAATAAAATCTATTTTAACTTTATAACAATTTTGTATTTTATCTAGAAGTTAAAAACAGTTTGTTAAGATATGTTCATAATAACAAATTAAATTTATTTACAATGGAACAAAATTTAAACATCAATATAACAAACAGTATAGTGGTATATAGATCAATATACTATTTATTAGATAAAAATAAACACGTCAAGTAGTGACTTACAGTTAGTAACTTACTGATATATATGTAAGCGTTTGCTTTGAATATAAGGTCCATATTTTCCACCCTGCTTCGGACCCTCATTGCATTCTATGCCTGCCCAAGCTAAATCTTGAATGAGTGCCTCTATAGACCCATCTACCTTTCTACTTTGATCTGTATCCTCTATTCGTAAAACAAAAGCACCACGTCGAGACTTGGCAAATAAATTATTATATAAAGCTGTTCTTAAACCCCCTAGATGCAAATATCCCGTAGGACTAGGAGCGAATCTGACTCTTGGAACTAATGTCTTTATGCTTCTAATACCATTTCGTTTAGCCAAAGAAAGATGAAATCCTTTGAATGTAGTAGACCAGACACCCCACATATTTGTATTATACTAAACAACTAAATACTGAACATATAAAAACATTGCAAGATAAAACAGCTATAGAATTTAAAAACAATAACTCTCTCAACTGTGAATTTCTTCTCAGATTTTAGGCATTTGAATCCCAGAACACTATTACTTCTAATCTACAATCTGAGACGTAAAGTCCATTTCGGAATTCGGCCTAGCAGTAGCTGTCAGTGTGACCAATTTAATTTTAACGAACCCACCAATTTTGCCGTCGCAACCCACCAGAAAACCACTAAAATCCACACTAACTAATAAAATAAATGTAAGTGTGTTTGTTTATTTATCCTTTTTTCACGCCGAAAGGAAATATAGGATCGATGTGATTTTTATGTCCGCAGATAGGAGGGGGTTAGGCAAGCAGCCGGCGAGCACTATTTTTTTGTTTTTACCGCGGGAAACACATGTTTTACTGAAGTAAACAGTAGTCTATGGACTATGTCACTCTTTACTTTAGATGGATAGCATACAGCTAGGATATATTTTTTGACAATAAAAGAACAATATTGTAAATTGAATTATAAAATTCGTTTATTTTCATTACAAAAAAACTTATAGAAGACATACAAAATCGTTAAAAATCATCTTCAGCAGAGTCGGATTCCTCTGCACCTTATGATTTTAAGTACATTTCTTTCGTTCCTATTTTCTGGACTACATAATTTGGCAAGATGTAATTATTGCAACACTTTCCTTCGCGTTTTAAACCTGCGCGGATTGTCATAATAGATGACAGTAGATCTAGCTTCATTCGGTTTCTGTGTTTTGTCTTCACGATATTCATAATGCTGAATAATCGCTCTACGCATTAGAGTGCGGTAAAACTAATAAAGATATAGCAAACGTGGCTAAATCTTCAAATCGGTTTTCTCCTGCAATGTCTTCGAAATCCAGCACCTCGTACCAAAATTCCACCAGCTGTACTTTCCACCACTTCCAGCCAGTCCTTTAATTGGGAGTCCCGTAACCAACAATCCCGGAACTTTTGCGTATATTGCGGTTTTGGCATTTTGTTTTAAAAATAAACTAAACATTTGCAAACAAACAAGGTCGCTCCGATGCATAGCATAACCAAAACTACTAAGTATCTGTGTTGTGTATTTCTATTTTTGTGCATGCATACGAAACGAACACATACAAATCTCATTAATTCAAATCAAATTTGACCCATTAGTCATACGAATAAAGCCCATAATCAAAATAATTTAAGAAATTGATAAACTTGTTTCGGAAAATTCCCGAAAATAACGAACGTAATTTTACAGAGTTGCCTACATAATGACAAAATATTCCTTGATAAGGTAAACGTTTTCGTCTTTTCCTGTAAAGATATCACTCGTGCTAGTGGTTAAATGTCGTAGCATACCACTGAATGAAACAAACTAAACCACTAGAAAAATCCACTAGCCACTAAAACCAAAATTCGCCCGCTAAAACGTATATCTAAACCACCAGATCTAGTGGAATATCCACTAAGTTGGCAACACTGAGTAGCTGGTAGCAGCTTCGTCGGATTTTTATTTGACAGCTAGCGCAAACACTAGAATATAACGATCAGCATAGATTCATAATACTTCAGTACCTAAATTCTAAAACTTTAAGTTCAGATTTTTTGGATGTAAGCTTTATAGGATTTGTGTTACAGAACTTCCTTTTTTAGGATAAAAATGAAGTCTCTTTTACGTAATGTACACACATTATAGTGCTTTTCATGAAAGAAGTCCCGCGGTGATTTTTGGAACTAAATTTGACAGATCGGCAAAGTTGTCATTCGTCGATGTTATCAAGTTCGTTTGTTGTGGCAGATTTTTGTGAATTTTTAACTAGCTTAGTGCATTTTAAAGATTGATTACAATGCCAAAAGATGTAAAAAGTTCGGCTCGAGAAATGATATTAAAGGTGAAAGAGTTCTGTGAAGCAGAACATAAGAATCAAGGTGTTTTAATACCACTAAACAATCTTCGGAAGAGAGTTGCCGCCATAACAGGTACTTTTTAGAGTTGCCATTTAATAATTTTTTGCTGTATTGATGGGACTTTTATGATATAAATTCGGTTTTGCGACAAAATTGAATAAATACATAACGTGATGAAACTAGGTAACTCAAATTAAAACATATATTACATATTTCATAAGCATTATAAACTTAAAGTTACTATTATTTTTAATTGTTCATAATTTAATTGCAGGTGTGTCAGAGAAAACTATAACAAGAATTACAAACGAAGGTATAACAGCGGAGTGTACTTTGAAAAAAATTGTAACCCAACAATTATGCAATAAAACTCTGAATAAAAAATTGTATTGCTTTTCTTTACCCTATTTTCTCATCTTTTCCCTGTAAGTAGGTAGAACACCGCTAATATAAGTAAATAAAAATATACTTTTTACATAACATAAATATTGTTTCATCGAAGTATGCATAAAATAATATTATTTGATAAATTACATCTGCTAAATGTAAATAAAATAGGTAATTTTTTTACTCATAAATGGCAACATTACGTTATGCGATTGCAGCGCCGCGTCTGGGGGACTTCTTTCATGAAAAGGACTATACGTAAAATTTCTAAATTCCAATAATTTTTACAGATAATATAAGTAGATAATGATTAATGTCGGATTTTAACAATTGACAGCTGAAAAATGTAAAAAAAATATTTCATGATTGTTATTTCGTCTCCGATGTCGAAACAATAGCAAATTTGGTGAAAGTTTTAGTTATTTTTAACGAAAGTTCAGCAAAAATGGTTGGTATTTGTAAAATTATGATGGTTTGTCTAACACTGTTTAAATAAATGCTATTTTTATTTCAATATAGCAAAATAGAGTTGACAGCTAACATAATAATAAGGTTATGACATTGTATGTATTACGTTTTCTTTTCAGAATAAATTGAAATCATCACAGAGGGACAAAGTTAAAAAATTTGTAGCTTTCACGCAAACGACCGAGAGTACCGCGATATATTGCCTTTCTCAAAATGACTGGAAATTAGACTTGGCTAGCGACAATTATTTTCAAAACCCCGACGCTTATTACAAAGATTCTGGTAAAGCATCAGTGGACAGAAAGAAGGTTGACCAGTTATTTAATAAATACCGAGATCATCAGGAGAATGATAAAATTACCGTTGATGGTGTTATGAAGTTCCTAGAAGACTTAAACTTAAGCCCTGAATCCATAATAGTTCTTATTATTGCTTGGAAATGTAAAGCAGCTATTCAATGTGAATTTACAAAAGAAGAATTTACAATGGGTCTTATAGAGCTTAGTGTTGATAGCATAGACAAATTAAAAGTAAAGTTACCATTGCTTGATATGGAACTTAAAGATCCAAATAAATTTAAGGATTTTTATCATTTTACTTTCAATTATGCAAAGAATCCTGGCCAAAAAGGATTAGAATTAGAAATGGCGATAGCTTATTGGAATATTGTACTCAAAGGAAGATTTAAATTTCTTGATGCTTGGTGTAAATTTCTTGTGGTTTGTATATATTTTGTTTTTAATGCATTGATTAAACTTTCTGCATAGGATGCAATAAAAATAGCTAAATATAATTTGAGAAAAATGAACTCACCATGTTGTGTAATTTCTATAAAGAATATGAGCATTAAATATATGTGTATAGTGATTGATTAAATAAACAGTAATTGTATTGGGATTTTTAGGATCACCATAAAAGATCTATACCAAAAGACACATGGAATCTCCTTCTTGACTTTGCTACACAAATTGATGATGGAATGAGTAATTATGATGCTGAGGGAGCTTGGCCAGTTCTTATTGATGATTTTGTTGAGTGGTGTCAAAAACAGGGACTTACAGCTGATGGTGTTAAATCTATTGAACCAGTGTCTGGCTAGCTGTTACTTCAATGGCAGGACGAAGCAGTTAGTCATGCTGATGAAAGGTGCAATTTGGTCAGAAAACTCCATTCATATGTTTGTTCTCTGTTGTCATGCTTCGTTCTGTACAGTTTTGAACTATGCACTGTTGAATGGATTGCAATCATAATTGTTTTTGACTTATGTAGCTGACCATATTACTTGACAGTCTATTTGGTATACCTGTATATAGTTTCATGTTCGTCCATACACACCAGAGTAATAACATTTTCCATCTAGTAGGATTTTAAATTTTTCACAAAGAAACTTATTACACTAAATAATCTGTAAACTGTAAAGCTTTTAAATTAAGATGTAAATATGTATATAACAATGATAATAGTTTGCAGTAAATCTAAATATTTTCCCATATTATTTTGTTGACAGTTTTAATGTGTTTCATTTTAATATAATAATGGCTTGGTCTATTTGATTTTTTACACAATAATTCCAGACATTTTACAAAAAAAATTATCTTACAAAGTTTTGTTATAAATTTAAAAACAATGTTATACTGAAAAACTTTTTAAAATTAGATGCAAAATTAAACAGCATTATTGTTTTTAATTTGTGAAGTGTTAATATCATTAGATATTGAGAATAGGGGAAGCAGTATTTAGAATAATAAAATCATTTTTGGTACTTAGTTTATTTAATATGTACAAAGCGTTAAATTTATGTATGGACTATGGAGTAATAATAAATTGTTGAAGAAAATTCTTAAGTTTTATTTTCATACTTGTGCTAGTAATTTAGTAAAGGATATAACGTATTAAAATTGCGGCTCACGGAGAAACACGTCCTGCCTAGGGGATTTCCAATAAAAAAAAATCCCACAGAGTATAGTTCATTAAAAAGGAGCATAAATGTTATAGGTTGCTTTTTTAGACTGACAATGTCAATTTGACATTATGTTTGGACAAAGATATCTATGGATAAAGATTCTATCATTCTAGTTTTTACAAGTTTAAACTTAAAATATCTGCCGATCAATTTTATTGCAGAAGTTATTGAGTTTACGTAAATATTTTGTTATAAACTCATTGGATATAATAACCACAACTATTATGTCTATTCGACTTGGGGGTGCTTTAAAAGAGCTGAGAATTCACTTATGCCAAACAAGTCCTCACTCGGCTGGTGTAAGGTAAATTGGTTACATAAACATGATATTTTTTATGTAGCTCGGACCTAACAGTTTACATTGTTTAATCAAATTTATGTTGCTATTTCTAAAGTACTATCAGAACGTTTGTTTACAGGGAATTCATAAGTAAAAACTATGTTAACATAAAGAAAGAGAATCCTACTTTTCCAATTCTTATTAGAGAGTGCAATGGAATACAACCTCGCATTTGGGCTCGATATGGTATGTTACAAAATTATCTTACTTCTAATTTTGCTTACTTCTGTCACATGCCATTACATCAATTGCAGCTAGTTTCACCGTTTTTGACTATGGGGTCATTTAAACTTTTTCGAAAGCATCATCAGCATAACAGTACAAAAATAACTTTAGTATTACCTTTAAAGTAAACAAAAATTTTCAGATAGAGGCTGTGAAGCAAGTGAGTCTCTATGTGGCCTAACCAGTGATCAAGTTAGGAATGTGATTTTTAAACTGATTCGACTTTAATATGGTTTTTATAATTCCTCTTATGTTATTAGAGTAGCAAAGGGTTAAAAATTTTAGATGATTTATAGAAATAATTTTGTAGATAGTGTTAAATATGTATGTATGTGTTGCTCATTTCTGGATATAAATGTAATATATTTATTTTCAGATAAAGGCGCTGAGCGTAGCGCACCTCTAACAAACCTATCTGCCAGTGATATTTTAGCTGCAGTTAAGCAATTTGTAAAGTAAATTATTTAAAATTTATCATGTAGTTAATTATTTTATTTATAAATAAAAAATACACTAGCTTACATTTATTTAATTGTCATAAACCAAGCTGGCACTTAGATAAATATTTTACATATAAATGACCTGTACAAAGTGTAACAGTCAATTACTGTTATAAACCCTCATCATTTCAGATTATTTGTAACAATTAAAGCTATAATAAAATTCTTAAACTCATAATTTAACAATAACACTAAATGACTCAAAAATCTATAATTCTTAGATGATGAACTTGTAAGTATAAGAGGTTTTTTGTTCACTAGTTCTGTAATAAGTTTTACTATCATATTTTGTTATGTAAACTTAACAATAAAATGTAAACAATTAAAAATCTTTGTACAAACAACAGTATAAATGTGGCCTTTGATTATATTTGTGGTTTGTGCAGTAAAATAATAAACATCAAAGTACCACATGTAGTATAACTTACATATATGATAGATGTTGGTTAAAAAACAAAATATAATCTTAACTTTAGGCACAGACAAGCATAGTGTATAGTACAACTTAGTATTTGTACTTTAGTATTTTCATAAAATAGATTAATCAAGATTAGAGTAAAGAAATGGAAGACAATGTCACAAATGTAAAACTATTTCATGCAATACTACTTAAATTAAATTCACTTAAAAGGGGGCAACCCAAATATTTCAGGTTGGAATTTCGCAAGTGATGGTAACACTATTGTCGCATGTGTTGTTAACATTTTGTTTAAGTGAGGGTCAGGAACCATAACCACTTGCATCCCAGCTGATATACCAGCTGTTACACCATGAGGAGAGTCTTCAAATACTAAGCACTGAAAAATAAAATAAATTTTAATTGCTGTGTTAATGTCTTCAATATATGTAATATATATTGAGTCCAGAAGCTCTACATTGTAAAACTCTTTCAAAATTACTTTACTATTACAATATAGTGTTATTATAATATATTTAGGAATTAATACTTTAAAAAAATTGGTAGCATAAAAATGTGAGCATAAATCACATGTCATGTGAGATTTAATGGTTAAAATTTTTTGGCAACATGACATGGCATTGTTTGGTAATAGATTTATTGGCATTTATTTTTAACAGTTGTACACTACACCATCTCAAAATGTTTTATACTTTATATACATTAAATGTCTCTTACTTTACTAGGATCAGGTTTATCTGGAAATCTTGCAGCTGCTACTAAGAATATATCAGGATGAGGCTTCCCAAACTTCACTTCTCTATCTGTACTGCCCATCACCATGTGATTGAAATAACTAAACAATTCTTTATAACTGGCAATCTTAGTGTCAACTGATCGGGCACTAGATGATGTGGCTACGGCAAATGGCACTTTTGATGAGTGTAAATGACGAATTAATCTTTCAGCCCCTGCAAGAGATTCATTAATTGATAATTTTGTATCTTGTTGGACTGCCTAAAGCACAAGTAGGACATTTAAATAGTATTTTCTATATTGATTAACATATATTACACATTTAAATAAATTTTTATAAAGTGAAACTCTCTTGCTTACTGAGTTTTTTTTAAAGAAGTTAAAAACGAACAAGTCAATATGTATTATCAACTTATAATTTTGCTCATAAGATAAGATAATTGAATATCATTTGATTACAATATCAATTGCAACTGAAAAAGTGAATTCACATAAATTAAAATTACTCCAAAAAATATTATGATGATATAGGCAATATATTTTATTATATAATTATGTTAAGTCTACAAGCATTTACTCTATATAATGTAAATAATATAAAGTCCATTCTGTATACAATTTACAATGTTTAAAAGATACAAACCATCCATTAATGGAGCATTGGCCAACATAGTATCTCCTAAAACTAATAATTGATCTCTGAATTCTTTAGGAGAAATTGGGAGCTTCAATTCTTTGCAGAGGATTTCTGAGAGCCTTTGTTCTGTTCCACCAAGAACTTTCATCATTAACTCGTTGGTATATTGATGGCCATAATTAGCACATAGTTGGGTTATCATCTTTTTATACACTTGTTCAGTATCTAAAACAAAATTATCGAAAAAGCAATGAAACATGATTTTTTTAATTGTTACATTTAAATTACATGTAAATCGTTACACAATACATGCTTAGTATCCTATTCAAATTAACATAAGGTATTATATTATTATAATGTAATATTTCAAAGGTGAAGATTACATAAATTAAATCATACCAATGAAAGGAAGATAAAAGGTTGGAGGCTAAGCATAGTTTTATCTTACCTAATAATAGACCATCCATATCAAATATACAATGGGTAACTTGTCTTACATTTTTTGTAGATAAAAACCTCCTTCCAAAACTATTGGAGACAGTTTTTAAAAGAAGAATTCTCATTTTCGCGCCGTCTTTAGTCTTAATGGGTTATATAAATGAGTAACAGAAGAGTTCGTCGATTAGCAACACCACAAAGTAAAGGTTTATTTATTATTACTTTAGTATTTAAGCATCTCCAGTATTGAATAGAGATAACATTAATGGCTAAATATTTTTATTCCATACAATTGACAGCTGTGCAATGTGCACCGGCTGTTTTAACACAAGTAATAAAAATAATAAATTAGCCTTATTATTTTTGAAATCTCATTTCAGCCTTCGAGGTTTAATTCTAAACATGTCAAACAAAAGTCAACCATCAGTCATAGTTTGAAATTTGAATTTGAGAAATACAACTGATTATTTTGACATATGACAGTATCTGAAGATGTCAACGTTACATATTATTTTCCACCAAAGAGATGTGCAACATAAGCATTTGCTAATGATTTCACTCGAGCTGAACTTTATATTAATCGAACTTTAACTTTCTTTGTCCAGGACAAAATTAGATAAAAGTATAATTTGATGTTTTATATAGTTAATAGGCTGATTCATTAGACAATGTGTGGAACTTTTAAATATTTAAGATTTAATCGGATTTATAATTCACTTATAGTATGTAATTAGCTGCATATTTAGTCATCTGAACGGCAATTCTGTAATATCTTATCAGTCTACCAAAAAGTAGACGTTTGTTTAAATATGTATACATTATTTTCACAATAAACTACGTATTGATCGTGTTATTTGTTATGGCAGTAGTGACAAAACTAGCGAGTAGCGACTAGTCGATAACGATACTTGATAGTGTTGTAGCGTGCTTGATGCTTCATTTTGGTATACGCTAACGCAGTCGGGCTGCGGCCGTCATGGATCGCAGTTAGTTTGTCGGGGCCTGTTTAATGGCATGTTTACTGTCCAAAGTTTTTAAATTGTATTCTATTATAATTTTAAAAAGCATTTAGTGAAATAAGTTGAGCTTATTTTATAATTATCATAATAAATGAAGAACATGGCTGTGAGCGTGTGTTGTTGTGTGAAATTGTCACCTAACAAAAAATCGATTTTTGGTTTCGGTATGCAGACCCAAATATTGTATTTTGTATTGTTTGCTGGATTTTTGGTGACCCTTAGCACTGCGGACACGGAAATTTCATGTGCAAATGTGAAAAATATTTTTGAGAAAAAAGGAATGTTATCGATGATTGATTTTCAAGAAAAACCAAATTCAGGTAAGAGCTAGAAATAAGAATCACGCGCTCCTAAATGATTATTATTGACCTGATAAAATCGGCCCATTTATCATTATTTATGAATCATTTAATGGCACGTAAAGGTAAATATTTAAATGGTCTAGTCAGATGTTTTTTTAAATATCTAATATAAAAAATATATAGTGCAACAAAAGAAGGAAGGTTACTACCGTGTTACTATTTAAACAATGATATTCGATGCACATAAACAATACAGTGAAAACCTTTTTGGTAGGTAGTTATTACTGGTTCACATCAAAGGCGATTCGTGCCGACAACCGTTCTTTCTACCTGAGGCAGAATCGTAGTTATGCAGCTTTTTATTATATTGGTTCCTACATTATCAAGATTGCAATTTTTATGAATATCCGAATGGGCGGGTAATTCCCACAAGCAATCAGATAATTGTTTAATTATCATCGAATCGACTGTTGACATGAATAATTATGCATACCAGGGGCATAGAAATTATATAAAATGTCCTATCATAGGTGTGTGTTTGCAGAGAAACTAGATTCAAAGGACCAAAAAATTTTGTATCTTGCAATATGTAAGCTCTTTCAGTGAATTCTCTGACTGTGGTAGTCCAAGTCGAGGTCGCAGCCCCCCGTGGGGCGACTGTAGCTCAAAAAAGCATGGAGCGCAAATAGTTTGACATTTTAAAAGTTTGATTATTTTTCGAATCCTTTGATTTTTGCTACTCACTTATGCTAAAGTCGTGAAGACATTCGGGCCAGCTTACACAACTTAAATATGTTGATTTATTGTTTTGCAATAAGATGTACTTCCGTAGACGATAAATTGTAAAATTGTCTGTAATCTATGCTCTATTTGAAATTTTAACACTAGGCTTATACATCCAATTTTGCTTGTAACATCTGCGTGAAGATTGTGTTCGTCTCTCACCCTTAAACAGATGAACCAGTCGATGTATCTTATCATAGAGATTGCAGGTATCAACTTTCTTGTCGGGTAAAAGTTAATTCGACAGTTTCGATTACCAATTAAGATTAAGTTCGTTTAATTTTAACGTTTTTACAAACCTGAAGGACTACTTTCTATAATTAATATAGTAAATACTTCGACATAAAAAGTAGTAGTTTATTTTCACACATCCTTCGGGATACGGTTGAATTAATTTTCCCCTATCTTATTTCCCTGTAGACATTTTGTACGTGTCAGAATTTAAGATAAGGTTTTCGCTAACATAACTTTTTATATTAAACTGACTAGTCTCTGCCCACGTCTACGCCAGCCTAGAATCTTAATCCTTTATAGTAAGTACATTTGCAAGTGTATTTATATTAATAATTAATATTAGGCGCTATACGTTTTTTTTTTTTTAATTGTGGATTAAGTGTGAGTCATATCCTTACACAGACGTGATTTTTGACATAAAAATGCCTTTATCCCGTCGACTTACAATAAAAAGATAAATTTATGCTAAAGGAAAATCGCGTAACATAAAAAATATATTACATAGAGCTTAACAAGCATTAACTATGCACCTAACCTGTTTATCAACTTACGTGTTTAATACGTAAATTATGAAGTGCGGTTTATTCGTCGCCAATGTAAATGGGCTATTAAGATAGTCTGCGAGATCAATCTCTAAATATGGCGATGTCTGTTGCGAGTTTCTGCATAACGAGTGACATTTTATTGCGCATTTTTGTGCGATGCTACAAATTATGTCGTGAATTATTTAAAAACTTCCGTCTGTGGTTGGGATTAATGTTTCTCCAATAATAAAATTAATATCGCCGTCAATAGCAATTACCTATTTATTCAAACACATGAATGTCATATTCTGTGGCGCAATAATTACACTTACCTCTGTCCTATAGTCTGTGCCTAAATTGCCGATACTGAGCGTCACTGAGGTGCGAACGGTTATAGACTTCTGTATTTTCGAAACTCTTCGTCTTTTAAGCACTTCTTAATTGTATCTGTATGCATGTACGGTATACGCGTAATTATAATATTAATATTAAGTAAAACTAATAAAGATTCAGAGGGTTCACGGTCGATTGTAAATTCTTGTAAATTATAGTAATTATGTATGCAATCCGCGAATACCGGCTCGGTCTGTCGCGACGACTACCGGCAAAATGTGACTAGTACAGGGTTGTCAGGTGCCTTATTTAAGATAAGTGTATATTACTAACACCTTACTAATGCTAATATAACCTTTAGATTTCTGCATCTTTTTCATTGATGACTCTTTCTAAACAAGAAAACCTCTGATCATGTCGTCGATTTATGGCTATATACGGGTTTGTCTACTAAGTTCCTCCGCCATACAGGTGTTTTACATACATATAAAGAAAAATCAATTAACGTATTGCCAGGTTTCTTACTAAACTTAACTTTTTACCTCGCGAGTTGATAATCGCAATCAAGCAAATCTAAAAATTAAAAAATATATAATATAAGGTTCTTAGTCCCATAAATCTATGTTCAGGGTTTGACCCTATTTATATTTAGACATGATGAATTTGTATGAAGACGTTAGATCACCGGAAAGGGATGTTATGACTCACCCATTGATATTCACGTTATATTTTTGATATGACTAAGAAAACGGCGCGATAAAGCAGAAGAAATATTTTAATTTTATTCTAATATGCCAATAACTTTTTGTTTTTTGAAATAAATTTTAAATAGTTAATTATCCAAAATGGAAGTTACGCCTCAGTAGCTTTTGCGTGTGTCAAAAAAACAGATTGAAATTTGTTCCAACAAATTCCAGTGTTATAAGTTTGACGTGTCTATGTGTCTATAGCAAAGCCTCTAAACGAATGGATCGATTATGATGTGTTTTTGTTATAAAGCTGAAGTGATCGAAATTGGGTTTTATAAAGATCTGTTCCGGCGCTTTTTTGTAATTGTAATGAAATGTATGTGCTAGGTTAAAAAGAGAAGTGTTTTACTAGTGTCTAGCGTAGTCAGTTCGTAGGTTCGAACCCCGTCTGTGCACCAATGGGCTTTCTATGTGCGCATTTAACACTTGCTCGTACGGTGAAGGAACAATTCGTGGGGAAACCGGCATGTCTTAGACCCTAAAACTCGACGCCGTGCGTCAAGTAGTACACTTATTAGAAAAAAATATCACGAAACAGATACAGAAATCAGAGGCCCACGCCGAACTGGTTTTTTTTTTACTTTCATAATGTAGAAAATAGTCTTCACATTATAAGGATGTCGTTATCTTTGATGTAGTATCCTGTTGATACTTTCTGACCTATCTATCATGGCTGTCAGAAACGGGAGTTGGAGATAGCAAGTGTCCACAAATGTCCACCTTGGGAAAAGATATTGGGAATGCATTACTTAGCCGTAGTTTTGTTGGAACTCTAATTCAACGCTTACGATTCGAATATTAGTTATTTAAAAATTTACACTATGTTACTAATAGACACATATGTACAATGTCCAATAAAATTAATAAAATAACTATAATCTATACATTACATGTTAAACAATTACAATGATGAGTTTTGATACAAAAAAGTTACACATAGCATTGTAATGGGCCATTACACATTTGAATATAATTTAGTTTTTCGGCAAAATATTTTTTTAAAATATGGTATTACATATAACAATAATAATTAATGTAGAGAAGACATAGCCATAGATAGTTCATTATATAATAAGCAATTGAGGAAAATTTATACAAGTTTTAAACTGGTTACATTTTTTACACCGACTATCGAATTTTGAATTAATAAAAGTTTAGAAGATTTACACCGACTTCAATTA